TCCTGGAGACAAATTGTATTATTTATTTATTTTTAATTGCATTTTCTCTTTTCCCTAGTTTTTGTTTTTTTTTTTTTTCCTCTGTGGAACCGTAACTTTTTATAACATCACCTCCTACTCATCAACTGGTCTGAAAAAATTACCGGGATGGTGAGGAGGGAGAAGAAACCTGCAAGTAAAGCAGCACCCCGGGGCGGCGCGAGAAGCGTAGTGTCAAACTATGGTGTCTTAGCAGCCAGCGTGAAAACGCTTTCATGCGGCACCAAACCTGAGAGCACAGTTACACCAGATGGAAAACGGGCCAAAAGCTCAGCATCACACCAGCCAGAAGCAAATCTATACGGCTACAGGCTCTTGGTGATGGAGATGGGACAACTCTCATGAGTAGACGTAGCAAACAACCAAGACCTTGCTGTTTGTCAAACTGAGGATGTAAAACGCACACAAGCATCACAAATGTTGTTAAATAATGCAGGAGAAAACTGGTTTCATGCACAGCCAGACAAGCAAGACTGTGAGCAAGGAGGGAGGGATGCCACAGAGAGCCACGATGGGATCTCCACCCAAAGGAGGTGCAGGGATGGACAACAGAGGCTGAAGGCAGAGATGATGGTTGGCTATTGCTAACACAAGAAAGAGCTGAGATTTTCCACACCGCCAGGTATGCAGAGAAAGAAGTCAGAAAAATGTCAGTTTAGGGGAAAAAATGTCTTAGATATGAACTGAAATGCATATGTTGATAGTAATTGTAAGGAAAATACTCCGGGCTGTGCTGTTACTGCCAGGGCTTCTGCACAAAAAGAGCCTCTCATACAATAAGAGCTGATGCTATTTTAGCCTTTATTTTGGCAAGTAACAAGGACATTAAGAAGATATAAAAATTACCACGGACTTGAGTGCACACTAGCACATTCAGATTAAATTAAGGATAAAACAAGGAAGGTGTTGTAACGGAATCAAAGTTCACTCTTTTTAACAGCAAGAAATTAAATAAGACAGTAAAATTAAGTGGACCAAGGAGATAAGGAATGGGAAAGCAGCCATCTAAGTATCTCTCTCAGGTTAAAGATGCAAAACTATTCGAAAGCTAACTCAAAACTAACCTCTAAAAGGACATTAGGAACAATTAAAGAATCTACATATTACGGAGAGGATGGGATTCATTAGCAGTGTCTTAGAAGCCAGCAAGTGGTACGGAGATAAAATAAGAACTGCTGAATGTCAAGCTGTGCCAGAGCTCAGCAAACGATAAACAAAATAGCGAGAGATGTTTCAGCCCTGCAAGTAAAGGAGACCATAAAGGGAAAGTGAAGAGGATATGCTGTAAGGGTAGGCGAGAGATTAAAACCCATCAGCTATATCCTTTAAACTAAATTAGAGCTTTCATTAAGGACAAGGACACTGAACGTAGGTGCAAGGCAAAGAGCCCAGTGGGAACGAGGTTATAAAAAGAGACTCAAGCAAGGTGGATACAAAACGCAAATGTTTTGGTATGTTCAAAGTCGCTGAAAGCAAACAGCATTCATCCCAGCACTCCCAAAGAAATGGCACATGAAATAACGCCTCTGGTAGTAGCAAGGCTGTTAAAGCAATCTACCCAGCCGAGCATGGCACCACGGAAAATGTAAAACTCGTATTTAGAGGAGGAGGGAGAATCTACATATTCGCGTTCCCAAGACCTAAATAGTACACAAAGTTTCAGAATGTGTTTTGAATGCAAGAACTGAAGAAGTAAACAAAAAAATTGAATTCATCAAGAGAGTTGACAATGGTAAGTGTGCTGTGTCAACCCTCTGTTTTCCATCTCTAAAAAAAAAATATAAATTTAGTTTTGTAGACCTAAAAAGTGCAGCTGAGCTAATCCAGATTTCATTATGGCTTTCAATGCAAGGCTATGTTGGAAGAGCTCCTGGGTAAGATACAGATGGTGAGGGTTATCTCCAGAGTCACCGAGGTTAACAGGGACAGAAGTTAGTTGTTCAAGGATGGTGTCTGGACAGGCTTTGACCTTTCAAAGAAATACAGAACAGTTTGGCTTGGAAGGGACCTCAGAGCCTCTCCAGCCCCATCCAGCCTGGCCTTGGGCACTGCCAGGGATGGGGCAGCCACAGCTCCTCAGGGCAGCCTGTCCTCGTAGCAAAGAAAGATATCCTCATTAACGACACAGACCCCAAAAAAAGAGTGCTAATCATACGCTCTGCTGACAAAGTTGAAGGGGATTAACAGTAAAAATATAGGAAAGAATAACACCGAAGGAAAAACTAGATGATCTTTAGGGCTGGCAATATTATCCAGTAACAGCAGCGGGATAACATTTTACGATGCTATTAGGGGCTGAGAAGAATGTTAGCTCTCAAGGCTGGGAGCTCATCAGTTGGCAGGCAAGGGTGTAAAAGAGCGGGGTATATTAGTCCATATTAAAATGAATAAGGGACTATTAATCACTGCAGCCACGAGAACGAGCAAAGCAAAATACTGCCATAAAAGAACCTAGAAAGGTCCATAAAGGACCCAGAAACACGGCTGTACAAGGAAACAGTGAGGCCTATCTATGTGCCCTTAAACAAGGCTGACCAAAAGCGTACAAGTGAGATGATGTGATGTGATTTCATGAGATGAAGCACAGAGGAGAGACAAATGAGGCAAGCTGAGCACCTAGATAACCTGTTTCAATGAGGTTTTGTCTTACTTAAGCCAACAAACACTGAAGGCAGAGAGAAGAGATGAGCTGTCTGAACACCTCCAGGGAAGGCAGCAGACCTCACTGTCAAACAAGGAGACAAAGGGGACGTTCAGGCTTAGTGACCATGCCGGCGTTGGAAAAGCATGCAGAAATTCACTGTAAGTACAAGTAGGATGGACGTTAGACTAAGCACAGGAAAGCTTAAGGGACAGGAATCAGTACGGTCCTTAAACACCTGCCAAGTTCTAACACCCAGCTTTGAACATGAAATAGCAAAGTAAATAATTCAGGGGAAGGTAGGTCCAGCACTGACTGTGGAAGGCCAACAGTCAGCACTGATATCAGTCAACGCACAACCTGTAAGTTATAAAATAAATTATGTATTTCTTCCTGACAGCTCTGATTACCAATTTGATGGAAGAGATGCCTGAAAATTTAAATAAATCATCGTGCAAGTGCCTGACTTTGTACACGGGACTTCACTTGCTCTACTGAGAGCTGCACTAATTGGAAAACCATCAGCCTGCCTCAGCTTGCTGCTTGTGTAGCCAATGACATAAACTTGAAGTTCTTGCAAATCCCTTCATGTCTAAAACTTAGGACTTGACAATGAACTAAGACTTTACAACTGGTAAAGCAGAAACCAAAGAATGATTACCAATAATGTAAGTGGTATTCCAAGAAACAAAATTTACCAACAATACAAAGTCTCCTAAGTGTTTAAAACCACTCTTTACCAGAAGGTAAAGCAGACATTTCACAAGTATTCCTAATGTTTTCAGAAAAGTTCAGGAAACGCCTTGAAAAACATAGCCTACGGGCAATTTTCCAGGTAGACCTCATTTCTTCGCTCAATATGATAATAATGTGTATTATCTTTGTTGGAAGTGACCCCAACAGTGAGCTTCTGCACCACAAATGACTGAAATATCAAGGAAATCCTTGTGAAGTTGCCAGCTTTCATTTGGTAATTGGTTAGATTGGTTGAATAAGGGCGGAGATTGACTGATGCCTTTTTTTTTTTTTGTGTAAAGAGACTTGGTCAAATGTGGGAATTCAAATTCATCAAATATATACAGCCTCGTTTGAGAGCTCTGTTCCAGACCCAGTAGTAGCTTTACCCTTCAAAGAGACCCTGTATCACTCTGAGTACAGCGTGCGTTGATACTTGGATTAGCCCAGAGCAAGAAGGTGCCCAAGGCTGCTCTGAATTATTAGCTGCAGCAGCAGTTGCAGAGTCTCTGTGATTGCAGTCTGTGATCTACGAGCATTTTCATGATCCACCAAGCTTCATCCACTGCTTCTGCAGCATTAGCATTATCATCAGACAGTCTGACACCGGAGGCAACGTGTGTGTTAACTGACTGCACCAAATTAAGGGAAAGAATGAACTCGATCTTATTCTGCAGGTACCACAGGTCTTTGGCAGCACAAGGAGAAAGAGGGATGGCACTCCAGCTGTGCCTTTAAAGAACAAGATGTTAAAAAGAGACACTGGGAACATTTGGGTATTCTCATTCTGGGCTTGTTTTTTGGCTGAGTCTTTGCTGCTTTCTTCAGCATCAAGATGTGCACCTTTAAAGCCAAAGCCCTGATTAGAACATAGCCCAATTAATAGGTGAGCATCCCACTTGACTTCATAGCACATTTCCAGATCCACTGGGTTGAGTAACCCTTTCTCTGCTGCAGGATTACACTGAGAGCTGGTTCCCTTTTGTGAGAAACGATCTGCAGCCAGTAACACAGGCTCAGGCAAGGATCTCAGTGAAGAAGCTCTTTTATTTGTGACAGCAATGGTGGGCGTCCTGCAAGCAGGAGCCCACAGCAAAAGTATGTATCATAAGCTTATATTCCCTATTATCCGACGCTTAATTCCTCCCCTGTTTCCTCATTGTCTGAGTACTACAGGTTCACAAACTACTCGATAGTACTTACGACTATAGTGTATAGGTACAATTTTATTTGACCAACATTTAACTTCTCCTTTTCCTTTTGGTTTTCCTTCCCCTCTTGTGACTAGAGGGCCTGTGGTTTTTTGGTTTTACTCACTTTGCAACTGCTTGCCTCGTTTTTCTTAGCCATCCTCCTTATTTTGGAACAGTAGGACCTTCCACTGTCCCCTTATCAGCTTAATATTCCCCGCACTGTTACGCCTGCACGATTACTTTTGAATATGCAAGGTTAGTGAAATTTTCCACTGCAAAAACACAACTTGAATTCTCACAGTTTGGAGAACAAACAGATCGCTGAAATTGCCACATTGCTCAAGAGAAACAACATACTTTTAAAGAATTCTACGCTTGGTAACAAATCCTACCTGTATTTTTATCGGCCAGGTGAAATTGCTGACGTAAACAAAGAAAGTGATGTTCGGATTGTTGCGGAAATCAAATTTCTCATTGGAGAAACTGTCCTTGTATTCTTTTATATTAGTTCTTGAAACAACTGGAATTTCCTCCCCAGCCTGCGTGCCAGCTGTTTTCAAATGTTAAGAAGTTAACAAGAAAAGATGTTTCAATGCATATTTTAAGCGACAAATAAAAAGAGCTAATCATCCAGAATAATAATGCTATAAAATTAACCATTCATCTGAACATGACAACGTTAAGCTGCACCACACTATCAAAATCACTGTATGCCAAAATATCATGTTCCTAAAAATTAAATTAGCTCCTCCACTGTTTCCAAAATACACCATTAAGATGGAAAAACGCAGTTCTTTTTAACATTTTCCTTCTGCCCCCAAGCCTAACATTAAAGGGCACTACATAGCAAGTTCATATGTAATGACAGACGTTTCCTCAATTAAATCTGCGTTTGTCAAAAACTGATAACTGAAGCAAGGTAGCAAGCAACTTAGATCATGCTGATTTTACCTGCAAAACTTGTTGACCAAGTAATATTGAGGTTGAAATTTTTAGATGCATTGATAAACATGTCCAGGTCTCTGTTTTGCTAGGGGGAAAAAAAAGAATAAAAAATAATTTTTACGATAAGCAATTTTACTGTACTGTTTTCTAGCAAACCTTCACTGGCAAAAAATCTTGGAATTTGTTATTTACGTGAAGCAAATACATCAAGCATCATCACATTAAGCAAATGACAGCCTAGAAAACTATTTCCATTTTCTGAAAGCAGTATTCTCCTCCCCAAGGAAAGCATAATAAAGAACAAAACAAGTCATGTGCATAAAACACGAAGAACAGATACACGAGGTATGTGTTGAACAGCAATCAAAACTAGAATTGCTCAGCAGTTGTTTAAACAACTGTAAAAAAATCAACTGTGAAATAGTTGTTGGTTCCTATGAAATTTTACCATGAATATTTGAAACTTTGCCAAGCAAAGCTCAAAAATTTCTTGTTGCTTTGCAGAACTGGACACGCATGCTATGTTAAAAGACCACCTCTGGAGACTCACCATACTGTAAAGCTCGTCCTGTCCATGGCCAGGAAGAGACAAACATGTACCCAAAGGGTGATGTTTAAAGAGAAAGTAGAGAATTTACCTCTTCAGGTGTTGCTACGAAGTTGATTGCTGTGTAATAGCGATCATCCTCTTGAGAAAGGCTGAAGGTGAACTGATAGTCAATGAGAAGAGTATCTGAAAGGAATGCACAGAGAGAGTGACCCCAGGTCTTGGAGCAGAACAAACTTCTGCAAAGCGAGGCAAACCATTACAGTACAGCACTCCTTGAGCACAACTAGGAGTCGCCACGCTGCTATGAATGAGTTCACCCTATGCACGATCCCACACAAAAGGGACACGCTCATCCTTTTGAAGTTAAGCCTAGAGGGCTCAACTAGAAAGAGCTTACCTTTTCCAGACAAGAGCCTCCAGTCCTAATCTGAATGACTGTTCATACACATAAGTTGAAAAAAACATGCCAAGACATCTCCATTTTCCATACTGCAGTACCTCCACATTCTTATGGAATATTAGTAAAATAAAATAGTCTGTATAATCCCCATTTAGAAGGGGATTAAGTTCCGTACCTGTTAAGGTTCTGTACAGGGAGGATGTCTACAGAGCAGCTGCTTGGTCACAATCCTGCTGCCATCCTGCTCTCCAACACATCATGCCCTGGCATGGCAGGACCACTGGTCCACCAGTGTGTCCTGCTGCTCATGTCTGATTAGGTTTTGGGTATCACCTCTGGTAACCGACAGTGCACAACCAGCTTTGGGGATACGTCAGTATCCTTCCATTTCAGTATCCTTTTCTTAAAGCACAGTGTTCTGACCTGTACACAGTCCCAAAGCCATGCAGAGATATTCCAAGCAATAATAAATACGAAGCTATACAGCAGGTATTATTTTTCTCTTAATGCCCTCCCTTGTTGGGTTGACACGAGCCACACAAGCCTCTGATGTATACCTACAACTTTTATGAAGCACTACGAGAGAAATTTCCAAAGAAGAAAATCAAATGAGACTGAAATTGTATAGCACAAGGTTGTTCTTGTGAGAGTTGTAAATTTCTTTTCCCCCTTTTTGTCCACTTTACCAGCAGTGCTATTAGCACCAATGAGGTGGGTCATCCTTGCAAATAGATTATCATGAGATGTCATCGGTGTCCTTGCTTCGCTACGCAAGCAGACTTGAAATTTGTTAAATAGAGCACATTGCCAGTTTCTGCGTTTCACAAAAATACTATCGGAGACTTGTACCTTTATGTAATTTAAGATTATATCTGTCCATGCTTGCCAATGTGCTGATTGCTAGTATTTGCAAATAGAAGCTGGAGAGTTTCCATTAAGTACTCTGAATCTTGGCAATGTGTCTTTTGAGTTGCACAGGAATCCAACTGTTCATTTCAGAGGAAACATGGCGATTTTGAAGCCTTACCCATTCTAATGCGGAATGAAATTTAAAACTAAAAATTAAAAACGCAGTATTTCACATTAGCAAAAAATCTAAAAACACGCCTTGATTTCTACTTACTTAGGTATATATTGCAAAGTGTTTTCCAGAAAACCAGATTTCATTTCAAGGTCACGTGGAAAAAAAATCCAAAACTTTGTTCTGAAAGTTCCAATTGCGACAAAGACAAGAAGAGTATCGAGAAGAGCTGGTTTTCTTTAAACAAAACCTTAGACAAGCTGAAGTTCTCAAGAAGTATTTTCTAGTCCTATCCTTAATCCCTTGCATTTTAAACTGATCTGAGGCAATTGAATTTTAAATATATTTCCAACGTCATACATTTGTTATCTACAAACAAAATCCCAGCTATACTCACAGTAACATGTTCCTTTAAGCGGATTTCCCTGATACCTGTTTTCAACTTCACACCTAAAGAAAATAAATATTTTTAATTAATTTTTTTCAGATCTGTTTATTCCCAGCCACTAAAAATCAAAAACCACCACCTGTTCCAATACAATATGCAACTAAAAATAAAAGATGTAGGTCTGAGCTGTACTGAGTTTCTTAAGAAATTACGTAAATCTCCAAGATCCCTGCAAAACAAACTATAATGCCATTAAAATAAAATACAAAATTATGGAAATTAACTTTTGCATCCACTTGGAGGGTATTTAACAGCTCTTCACAATGGATGGAATTGGATTGCAACAGTCAAAACCTAAAGTTTCCATTTACATTTATGTCCATTTTAGGATCTAGTCCTATAAATGTTTACTTATGTGGGTAACGCTTCAAAAATAAACCTGGCAATGAAATTATTTGAAATGAAAGTATTTCCACTAACATGACATTAAAAGCATTTCTGTTACATTACAGAGAAACCTCCAGCAAATTTGATGCTTTGAAATAGCTCTATTAAAATGTTTGAATGTCGAAGTCTTATTTCAGATATATTTATATTCCCCTAGAACAGAGACTGAAAACCTACCAGTTAAAAAGTAACTAGGATAAAGTGAGGGCTTAAAACAAAATGGTGTGCACAGTTTGGGGGGCGGGGGCATTATTTTTCACCCCATCCATCCTGCATGACAGTTGAAACGTTCTCAAAATAGAAACCTTTGGGAAATCATTTTGTTCATGTTCTCCCCCCGGGGGAAGCACGGCTGGCTGCACAGTCAATGAAGTTAGTCAACTGTCAGCAGGAAGAGATGAGCAGAGACATCATAAATACAGTCATTAAAAAAATGTACGGGGTTCCACGCCAGTATGTGCGTGGCCTTTCGATTTCAGCTAACAAAGTGAAAGGAACTCACAGTTGACACTCGTCTCCTTTGATTCCCTTGGTGGTGCAGAAACATTTCCCCGTGTTTGTGTTGCAGACAGACGCGTGGCCGTTGCACTTGCAAGCTGTTGAGCAGAGGGGGGGAAAAAAGGAGGCAATGTTGAACGAAGCAAGAGAAACAGATTGGAAAGCAATTAAGTCCTTCAGATGCCAAACTGCGATACATCAGCAATTAAAGTGCACATGGAAACTCTACTGGTCCTCTGGTTGCTTTGTGATACTAAGGGCTGCTAAAAATAGTACTGTGTGTCAGCACGGAGGGAGCGCAGGTTGAAGGACTGATGTTTTGTATGAAATCACGATCCAACTGGGCTTTTTTTTTAGAGTCAAAAATCTACCTTCCTCTCGTGTTGCTAGATAGCACTAGGGATATCGTAACTGGTAAGGAAAAGGTAATATTTGGAATAATTTTGGGCTTGCTAGCACATTTCACTCAAACTCAAAACTCTTGAGAGAAAACTGTGATCGCTATTTTTTGTAAGTAAAGCAAAGCTCCTGGTGCCTTTAGGGCTGTTTCTAGAAATAAACAGGCCTTTGAGAGAGTACTGTCATCAAAGGAAGAGCATCTGCAGTGTAAAACCTTTGGTGCTGAGAACACGATGTCCATGCTGAACGCACCTTCTGAGTGCCCCAGCGCACTTTAGAAATAGATTTAGTCTGGTCTCACAAGCTGGATGCCCCCCTGGTCGTGGCTAAAGCAAATCAGACATCAGCAGGCTCGTGGCGTGCTCAGAACAGACCAGCTCCACGTACTCTGCAACTGCTTGAGATATGACCCCAAGTGTGGCAATGGGGGCGTTCGGGAGATTTGCTTCAAGAGAGTGCTCCCGATTCAAATTAAAATGCTAATGCTGCCACGCTTCGAGACCTTTACGCATGAGGAAGTAGTGGAGGCACATAAAAAAAACAAAACAAGACAAAGTTGTCTTTGAGGTAATCTTGACTCTAATTAGAATAATGGCTGGACGAACTTCCAGGCGGTAGGTGCCTTTCAGCAGCTGTTCTGTCAATGATCTGGAAGTTGTGTTCATCTGGAGCTGGGCATGGAGGAGCACGCAACGTGAAAAGGGAAAGCATCACAGAATCAAAAATTTGTAGGGGTTGGAAAGGACCTCAGGAGACCATCAGGTCCAACCCCTCTGCCAAAGCAGTTCCCTAGAGCAGGCTGCCCAGGTAGGCGTCCAGACAGGCCTTGAATATCTCCAGAGAAGGAGACCCCACAACCTCCCTGGGCAGCCTGTCCCAGTGCTCCATCACCCTCACCATGAAGTTCTTTCGTGTGTTGGTGCAGAACTGCCTGGGCTCCATCTTGTGGCCATTGCCCCTCGTCCTGTCCCCACAAACCACTGAGAAGAGGTTGGCCAAATCCCTCTGTCTCCCTCATACGATACTTGTAAACATTGATAAGATCCCCTTCAGTCTTCTCTTCTCCAGGCTGAACAGCCCCAGGCCTCTCAGCCTTTCCTCACAGGGGAGATGCTCCAGGCCCCGTATCATCTTTGTGGCCCTCCGCTGGCCTCTTTCCAGGAGATCCCTGCCTTTTTTGTACCGGGGAGCCCAGAACATTCAGAGTCCATGAAGAGGAGATCCCTCAGTGCTCGCTGGAAACAGAATGCTTAAAGGCTGGTGTCTCCTCATTCAGAAACAGGGAGATGAGTCATAATATCCTAGGACAGTTTGGGTTGGAAGGGACCCTAAAACCCCCCTAATTCCAGCCCCTGCCCCCAGCCCCATCCAGCCTGGCCTTGGGCACTGCAGGGCTGGGGCAGCCACAGCTCCTTGGGGCAGCCTGGACAGGGCCTCACTGCCCTCATAGCAAAGAATTTCTTCCTAATATCTAATCTTAACCTACCCTTTCTTGATTTTGAACCATTTCAAGGTATGTGCCAGAATATTCCCCATTCTGAATATTCTGGCCCACCTTGGACCTTATTTTATGAATCCTTTTGATGCCTTCTTTGTATCGGCATGCAACGGGAGCTCTGTTGTATCCGAGATGCTTAATTGTGCTTCTCAGATGTGGATGAGTGGTTTCCTAGCAGCAACACGGAACAAAGTATGAAGAAGCATAAAGGGCTATTGTGGAAACAAGTAGATGGAACGGAGATTTGACAAAATAATTGTATTCTGTGAACCAAACACACTTCTCATTAGCGGCACTAAAAAACTAATTCTTAATACTATTGAGCATGCCTTGTACTTCCTTCTGCTTTGAAACACGTAAGCAGAAATTTGTTTGAATGTTCAACGTGCATGCACACAATGATAAAGAGAAATTTCAACTTCCATGTTGTTTAGATGCAGATCACTGTATCCAGAGCACTAAAGCTTGGACCTTCCTCACTCTGCTCTTTAGCTACGTGTTTATTGAGAAGATTTAGCACTCAAACATCTCAATTTAAAGCAACGACCTTATTTACCCATTTTCCTATGAGCCCCATTACTGGAGATCATTTGCTGAAGGAGTGGAACATGCAGAGAGATGAGAAATGTTCTCATGGCTGTGGGGTTTGGAAAGAAACTATTAACAAAACATGCTAAAAACCCTCAGCGGAGTCTAAAAGCTTCCCCCCAGAATCTGATGCTAGAGCAGAAAGCCACGATAACTGAAAAATGGCTTTTTGACTGGGACTCATGTAAAGAACCTCCACGATGAAGCAGAACCAGCCCACAGCGAGTCTCCTTCCACCTCCTTCACAAACCACGGGTCACGGATTTGCAGAGACAACAAAGAGGATCACCTCTCCTCCTCCTGTGTTTGTGCTGGGCCTAGCACCCCGAGGGCAGCACCCACCTGCCTGGCACCACGCTTCCACGCCTGAGTGCTTCAAGCTGTCCTCCAGGCAGCCCCGGGGGACAAGACAGTCCCGTGCCACCAGCAAACAACCCACAGGGGTGTTGAGCAGCGCTGCCGCAGCAGCGATCTGATTCCAGGCAGAGCAGCGCCTTCCCTTCTCTTGCAAATAACTCCCTTATCTACCGCTAGCATATTTTCGCGGGGAACTTTAATCAGAAAATTCAAAAAAAAAATAAATAAAAATCCTGAATGCGGAGAAAGCACCTTGCAGCTATTTTTACATTTGATGTGCTGCATTTCCTGCCCTTCCTGATTAACACCGCTCCGCGTCGGGCACTTCCTAAAAGCGGCTGCTGAGCAGCGATTTACCTGCCATTTAGTTGTTATCTGCCCGGCTCCACAAACACCAATGCCTGTGATGATACGCAAACAATTCTTCCAGAGGTGACTGCAGTTTGTTCAAAACTCTTAAATACAAGCAAGACAGCAAAGTTCAGCTGCCCTGGTGGCACAGAAGCAGCAGGAAAAGGCATTTTATTGCAGTGCAGTCTGTCCTTCCTTCTCCTCCTGGGCTTGCCAAGTGCATTAGCATCCCTTCGAGCTCTGCTCAGCTTTGCCTGTTTGCAAGGTGCTGCTGTCCCTGTAACTGCCACTAAACCCCCTAACATCTCATCTGAACTGGAAATACCAGAACACCCACGTTTCGCCAGTATGGAATATTTATTTTGAGGATATTTATGATCCCCGTGTTGCTGGGGCCACTGGGTTGGTGCTGCAGATCTGCACAAGGGCTCTCACTAAGCGTGCAAAAGCACAGATGCTTGTACATCAGGGTGCAGTGTACCAAGAGCTGTCTGCAGCACAGATATGACCACGGGCTTTCAAACACAACAGCACACAACACTGCACATACACGTCCAAGAAGAGTGGGATCAGCACATCACCGACGGGAAAGGAAGGAGACACCACGGCTTTGAGGAGAGAGAAAGCAGTTTGCTTTGCTGCCCATCAGCTGATCCTCATCTGAAGCATTTCCCTCTGGATTCCTCTTCACGGAGCACAGAAATTACCCATCGCCAGCAGTCACTCCGGCTGCATCAGATAGGATGATTTCCTCTCGCTTTCCCTTTTCCGATCCATGTCGGTCTTTCCGCCCAACTTCCTGCCTCCCTCGGTCTTCAGCCATCCCAGTAAATAGCATTAAATCACAGCAAATTAAAAACCTGGGCCCAAAGCACTTGAGAGCAAAGCACTTTTGACATGAGCTACTGGTTTCATCAGATAGAGAATGAATGCTGTTCCACAGTCTCTCAACACATTTTCTAATTTCTTTTTCAGGCATCCGGATGACTTTAGTCTATCATTCGTTATCTCAACAACAAACTATTTTTGGACAATCCTCATATGAAAGAGTCCAAAGTAACTTACTCTTGAATTTCCACACGCATAGAAAAGCAACAAATATGAAAAGGCACATTGTGATCCAACGATTAAACCTGAATGCTCGGAGTAGGATTTTATATTTTCTCATGCCAACTCCGTCTCAATGTATTCATTCCCGCACTTCAAATTATCTTCATGCAAAATGAGTTTAAGAATATCAGCAGTATTTAATCTTGCAGATAATGTTCTGAAATAAAGTGTCAAAGATGCACCTTTTCCTTTGTAGCTGTGTCATTGTGCTGTCATAAATTCATACCCCAGGTACTCCAACACCCTTTCCTCTATGCAGGGCACCCCTGCCCCTCTGCTACTCATTCAGAGCACAGCCAGGAAAGCAATCCTGAATCAGTGCACTGAAGGGTTCTTCCTCATAGCCTCAAACGTCACCCACTTGTTCTTGCTTTAGCAAGCAGGACACACATGCTCCAGCTGCTGACTCCCACCTTGAACTTGCGGTAAACATATTAGATGAATTTCCAAGTATTTTCTTCCTGGATCACCTCCATGCTTGGAAGGAGCAACTCCAAGCCTTCAATCTCCCGTTATTATTGACCTTCATTTATTCTTCCAGGATGCAGTACAAACCACCCGCACTCATGTCACAGAAGCACTGTTACTGCTCTCACACCACACAATGTTATTTCTGTTCTACCCTTCCCATCGTTGTATCTAATTACAATCGCTCCACCTATCTATATTCCACTAAAGCTCTTTGGAGCAAGAACCATTTTCCCTTATGTCTGCTTAGCACCTATCACAGCTGGATGCTGGTTTAAAACTGGTGTCTCCGTGTGACAATGCTACAAAATTTGCAGCAATTCTGAACAATATTGCAATGTTCAAGGACAAAACTCCAAATCCTGACATGTATATTTCTCCGTATTACCAAAGAGAACTTCATGGGTCCTTCAGGAAAGAATTCTTCTATTTTGTTGACTGGATGTTACACAATTGAAAAAGTACTTTGTGTCAAAGAGACCCAAAGCTCTTCGCAAACTTAAAATTCAATTTTACAAGGGATCACCTAATCCTCAACTGAAACCCAGCCAACCCCTCCGTGAAATATGGCAATCCTTTTATGAAGCAGACATCTATAATAATAAATGCACAAGACATTAACCAAATGTAATAGAATGCAGAATTTAGATAAGCAGAAATTTGTCCAAGACATTGGGATTAACACTGTTCCCTTTCAAAACAGGACTGTCAAACACTAAAGCCAACCCATTTCTCAGCGTGGTCATTTGAAGTTTACAAAAGAGGGTAAAAATCATCTTAATCTTGCGCAGCGCAAGTCAAAGAATTTCATCAAGCAATTTCTGTATCTTTGATTTGAAGAAGCAAGGATTGTGCCTTGCTCGCAGGAAAGAAAAAATGTATTATCAGGCTATAATTTCAGTGAAGATAGTAGAGGAATGAGTGAAGAGCAGAAAACCAAACATCAAAGACTCCCACAGGGGAAGACTTAAGGCGTCACTTACGCTGACACGTTCCTCCGTTAGTAGGATCGCCGTAGTAGCCAGAGATGCAAGTTTCACAGTGCTTGCCAGTCGTCAGATTTTCACACTTCTCACAGATGCTTTCATTTACACACTTACTGTGCCCGTTACACTGGCAGGCTGAAGAAAACAGAGAAGGATGAGTATTTGTGCTCAAGTACAGCATGTCACATAGCACCTCAGAAGTCTGTGCTCCAGAGAGGCTGACTGAAACCACTTCATACAACTTCCAAAGATGCTCTTGCAGTCTTGCTACAGATACATGAAATCAAAGAGAAGTGTGTACAGAAAACTTGAAATTTAAAGCAGCGCACAGTAAACTAAGCTCCAAACAACTACGTGAATATTGGACATACTGGTCTGGAAACAGCAGGTAGGATAGATAGATATACAAGGAGGAATGAGGAAGGGAGGTTTTAGCAGCATTTGAGTAATTTTAATTTAGTGTCAAACATTTTATTTCAGCATCTCCCTAAGCATTACTAACAGTTATCCAACCTTCAAGATCAGTTTTTTCTTTTTAAGAACCCCAAAAGCAAGTAAGTAAATAAAAGTTAAAAACTCAGTTAAGGTTTGAAGAAAGAAAAAATCTCACTAGAATAATGCATGGATTAGGGAAAAACATAGCTAAATCTTCACAAAGCAAATCTCTAGAGCTTACCTTACCTTACAACTCCTTGCATCTCCAAATGTGTTATTTCTCATGTGTCTTCCAAGGTCTTTTTCTCCCCCCACGCGGGAACACAAACATCACTGCCACCTTATGAAGCCGCTCGCCTCGCATTTAACTTTTGCTACCAGTTTTGTTTGACCAGTTAAAACTTACTCACTTACCTGGACACTGAATAAAGGACCAATTGTACTTGTTCTCCGCAGGACACATGCTGATATTTAGGACAGGCTCCAAGCTGTGTTTCCCTGTGGCAGACGGGGTTGGCATCTTGACGGGCCCTCGATAGGAGCCTTCGATGCACTTGCCCTTGCCGGTGTTGCTGGGGTCGGTACACCACCCACAGCCCGGCTGCTCCAAACAGTGAGCACACGTGCAGTAGCCTGAACAGTTCTCAGCTGTAAAAAAAAACATCAAATTGTGACATAAATCGCTGTCTTAAAACACAGCAGAACGATTCGCATATCTTTTGTGACCTCAAGTATTTCTCTCCCCAAAGCCTGTCAATATTTTTTCAGGTACTCACAGCAAGAAGTGTATCTGTTCATTTCTATCATCATATTTATTCTAGAATCTAAGATAACTACAAAGATTGAACCAACCAGTGACTTATGAAACAATGCAATACATATGTAAGGTTTTTCTAACCAGTACAACCCACTAAAACCAGAGCTGAACGTTCCCACCTACAAAGCATCTCTGCTTGATCCACAATGGGCCAGACTATAAAGGAGCTATCTGGAAGCAAAGACTAAAAAAAAGTTGGTTTACTTGTTTTGCGTATCTTTTTACCATGCATTTTAATATCATGCACTACAATTTCAAGTCTTTATCCAAACCAGAAAGCACAGAGGAGAAATAGAGAACACAATTTAGGGTGCTCAGAGGGCTACGTGCAAATCTGCAATCAACTGAATCGGGGAAAATGCACTGCTGCCCTTTCCCTGCTCCTTTCTGAAGTGGGATTGTATTTCAGGGATGACAAATTTTGTATGTATGCAGAAGTTTTTCTACTCCTTCTAATTATCTTAAAAAATATGTAATGTCCAAGGGTCCCAGGGTGTGAGCGCAGGCAGGGCTCCCCCGTCCCTAGCAGGGCCCCCCAGCAGATTCTGTGTTCCAAGGAGCAGAATTTCTATCTTGTTTGACAATATTTGCTTTTAAAAATAAACAAGCAAAAAAACCACAGTAGTAGAAAAACATTTCTTCCCATTATTTCAGCCTACTCTCCTCCAACTTTTGACCTCTGGCAGCATGGGAAGTTTACGCTCTCATCTTCAGCAGTCACTTGAAACTAATTTTCTCCATCTCTTGTTTTGCAACACTCTAACCAGGCTTATTCTCAGCAGCTTCCAAAAGTTCATGGAGCAACTACAGCAGCTCAGAGTGCCCAGCACCCCTCCTGTGAAGCACACACACTCTGCTGCCCTGAGAACCCCGGCTGTCCTGCCTCCTCTGCCCACACATGGCTCCTGAAGAATTCAACATAAATTAATTAAGCAAAAATGTCCAGCCATGTTTTAAATTTCTAGGCTATTTTCCTCCCAAGTGTGAAAACAGAAAGCGATAAATCTTTTACAATTTCCTCACCTCTATCTAAAAAGAGAGAAAAAAATCATTTTTTGAAAATAAGAAATCCCTACTGTGAGATATTCATTGACAAAACTTCAGAGTAAAACACTCGTGTAAACCATAATTTGGATTTGATGAGCTGATATTAAATTAACATGGCTCAACATACGAATAAAAGAGATACAGAAGATATGCAAGAATAAGCTAATCACATGAAATTATGTAGCAGCTTTAATTTGAAGGCTAGGGATTCAAATAATGAAGCAAGTTCAACTCCCTCTGAAAAGAAAAAGTTGAGATTTCATCGTCTCGGTTGAAAGTCTAGACTACCTGCCATTTAGCTGAACTGATAGTCCCTGTAATCAGGACCCAATTCTATTTAACTCTTGGCATTACACAGAGCATACTGCAAGATGGAGCTGCACACTCCAAGCTCTTGGGGTCATGGAGTTGTTATTTTTGAAGAATCCTCTGAATACAGCTGTGCAGGATAATGGATCTGCAGGACTCTGCCAGCAAACATCTACAAACGCAAGTCTTCAGCACACCCACTAAGATCACAGAATCCCAGAATTGTTGGGGTTGGAAGGGACCTCCAGAGACCATCGGGTCCTACCCCCCTGCCGAAGCAGGTTCCTTAAAGCAGGTTGCCAAGGTAGGCGTCCAGACAGGCCTTGAATATCTCCAGAGAAGGAGACCCCACAACCTCCCTGGGCAGCCTGTCCCACTGCTCCATCACCCTCACCATGAAGTTCTTTCCCATGTTGGTGCAGAACTGCCTGGGCTCCATCTTGTGGCCATTACCCCTCGTCCTGTCCCCACAAACCACTGAAAAGAGGTTGGCCAAATCCCTCTGTCTCCCACACTTCAGATGTTTGTAAACATTGATGAGATCCCCTCTCAGTCTTCTCCAGGCTGAACAGCCCCAGGTCTCTCAGCCTTTCCTCACAGGGAAGATGCTCCAGGCCCCGTATCATCTTTGTGGCCCTCCGCTGGCCTCTCTCCAGGAGATCCCTGTCTTTTTTGTACCGGGAAAGAAGATGCAGAAGCAATTACTCACGCGGACAGCTGCTCATGGTGTACCACTCCATGCACTGCCCGTAGGGGAAGGAGGCCACGTAGGCGTTGGAGTCCACGCACTGCTTCATGTTGCTGCACCACATGCACTCGGAGCTGCCGCTCGTGCACTCCCCGCACATGGTGCGCAGGGCACAGGGCGTGCGGCACTGCTTGGCGCTGTGGTTAGCTGCGGGCAGGAGGGCGAGAGTCAGCTTTTGCCCAGAAAGAAACAGGTAACGAGCCCCTAGGTAGGTTATTCAGACTGAAATATAGTGCAGCATCATGGGCTTGAAACATTTGGTTTGTAAATATGGGAAATGCACTAAGCCCTGTAACGTCATTTCTTTTATTACGCATCCTCTATGAGTGCTAATGCTTTTAAGGTGGACAAAAAACAAATAAAATGGTATTATAAATGTGAACTTTATATTTCTATAGGTTTGTTGATGTGGTCCTTCACCATTTTCCCATCTAAAGCGCTGGGAATCATTGAATTACGAAACTTCGAGGAGACTTCCAGGGATGGAGACTCCACCATCTCCCTGGACAGCCCATTCCAGTGTTTGATGGAAGAAACTCCACTTTTTAAATAACACGCTGGGATGTGTTTTAAGTTATTTGATCAGTTACACACATAAAATGAGTACCTAAAGCAAAACCAAGCCAGGAATTTATGGTGTGAGCCAGTGCTTTATCATCAGTTTTAAGTGACTGTTCTCAGGCCATAAAAACCAGTCAGAACTTAAAACAATACAAAATATGCTAAGATAAAGACAAAATGTTGAGTTAGGACTGCACACTCATGATCTGCATCCTGCAGTTCCACAAAGAACAATTTAAAGTGGTGCAGCTCACTTACAAATGTTACGTAATCAGCCAACTTTCTTAAAATTTAAAAAATCATTAATTGGTATTCAGAAATAATCAACTATCACATAGAGTTAACAGACCAAGCCATTTTTATAAAGATATGTGGTTCCAACAAAGCTAGAAGACTTTTCCCAAAAGCAAATAGCTTCTGTTTCAAAGTTCTCATATCTCCAAAGTGTCTTGCCCAATTAATTTCAAACTTTGATAAAATCCTCCTCTGGCTATGGAGCATGGCAGGGGAGGACGGGGAATTCAATTGGAAAGTAGCTTTTATTTATTTATTTTTAAACAGTAGATTGCTCCATACCATAATTAACCTAAATGTCACATTCAGGTATGCAGCGTAGAGAAAAATAATTAAACTCCAGTGTACTTTAAGCATTTTAGAGTTAACACTGTAAGCGTGGAGCTATTTATAAAATGTCCAATTTTGTTTGAAATACCTACACGAGACATTTTTTCAGAACCACTTTTCTTTGGCAAAGTCACGAAGCAGCCAGCTGTAAACATAAGGGATGGGATCCTGTTTACTCTTTAGGAAATATAAATACCTATCAGTCAACCTGCCCACCACGAGACAGAGTAGCTGGAGCTATTGTTACCTGCCCTTTCGCAGACGCTGCCGTTGACTTCGTTGATGCACGTTGCTGCCTTCAGTCCCTGCTGCAAAGGCTCTGCTAAATAACCACAAAATCCAGCGTCGCTCGGTTCATCAGGGAGCCACTGGAGCAGGGTGTTTGTGAAGGGAGACATGTCCTCCCAGCACCAATACGACACGTTGATTTTCCTCAATCCAACCCACGGAGTCAACGTTTTGGACTAGAAATAAAGCAGAATGGTAGATTTAATACACAGCTTTATTAGCTTTGGTATTAAAAGAAAATAAGCATCACCACACAGTGCTCTTAAGTAACTTTGACAGGTTTGGTGTTGCAAAAACATATTACAGTAATATGTTTCTCTGTAGCATTTAATTCAGATGGCACTGAGATGGAGAAATTCTTCTGAAAACACCATTTTTTTATTTTTTAAACTACATTTCTACTTATCTCTACCAGGAGAGGCACAGGTCAAACATTCACACCAGCTAACTAAGAAGTTAACTGCAAGTCGCTCTTTATATGTTTGTGACTCGTATAAATGGCTAGATACTTAAAAAAATGCTGGATCTACTTTGACAGGAGGAAGAAAACTAGCAGTCGCCTACATAATTTAACTAATACACTATACTTATTCTACAGTTTGCGAGGAGAGCTCTGCTGTTTGTTTGTGTGTATGTACGGGGGTGGAGGAGGAAAGAAGAGAGAGAGCAGGTCAAACCCAAATGAGTACTGCTCCACTGGCAAAAACAAAAACAAAAAAACACCTCGGTATGAAAAAACTCTAACACAACTGTTTCCACTGGCAATTTATTTTTTGGCACAGGTCTATTTTGGGGAGAGGCATTTTAACTGTATAGGTACAATATGTTATTTTCCTGTTCCCAATCTTTTCTCCAGCTAAGCGCTTCGGTGGCACAGCTGTCCCAGGAAGGCTTCAGACCCTACATCTTCCCTCGCTGCCATATAACAGCCACCTACTTCCAAGGGATTTTATACACTCTTAAGGCTTAGAGCCACAGCTCCTAACAGCAAGAGTTACACAGCATCGGGTACCAACACGTTTTCCTCTTTTTACAAGAGCTTATTTCAAAAAGGAGGAACTGCGAGGCACAGCCTCCCCCAGCACGGCACCGTGGGGCCCAAGCTCAAACACCAGCCATGGGCTGGCCTTTTAGCAAACGACATTTCCCCCCCTTGCAAACACTTAATACTACTATCAGCTAAAATGGGCTAATAGTCTGCTTCAATTTCTAGGGCTCACATTTAAAGGATATTGTAGAGGGAAAAAAAATGTACATGAATTTTTTTGTTGTTTCTTCTAGCGCCAAGGTTCAAGCACCGTTATGGAAAGGTTGACACGTGTCTTTAGGAATTTACATTACACTTAACTGTTCCTGGAGCTGTTAAGAGCCACATACTTTTGCAATATTTGGCTTTCTGTCTTAACAAAAGGTTTAACAAACCACCCTGACTGAGTTGTCCCTTACCTTTTATTGGCTAAAATGAAGCCCCTCCAAAACCCTGTAATTGTCGAAGCACCACTTTAAAATCACCAAGGGGATTCAAGGCAGAAAACGCTCTTGTTTTGAAAGGGCAATATTTCTCTTCAATACTTAAGCATGTTCTTCTCGGAAAAGTACCAATCCTAACTGCCTCCAGACTCATTTTTCCCCAAATACAACTTTTCCTGACTGCCAGCCCTGAGACCCCAGAGGAGGCACTGTGACACGCTGTCAAGCCATAGCAGCTTTGCAGCTCAAAGCAGGCTTTCAGCGAAGCCGCACGGCATCCTTCTTTGCTAGGGCTTTAGCACCACCTACACAACCTGCCCTGAATGCCTCTGCTCTTCCGCAAGTGACTGGAAAAAAAAAATATTTATTTTACTGCTGCATGAGGAGGGACAGATTCCAATTCACTTCTCGCTCAGACAGGAAAGCACCTGCCACTAAATCAAACATAAATAACTCCGAATAAGCCAAGCAGGTCTGCAGAGTAAGAAGCTGACATTTTAAACAGTGCTTTCCTGAACGGAATAAATAACTTTAAATGCTTTACTTTAAACACCTCTGGTGTCCCCAAAGGGACCTTTATTTATAAAATGTTGTGTACATGTCACAGGAGAACCGCTCACACTCCTGTTGCAGTCGTGTATCCCACAAGAGAAATGCGCACGTGATTTCATTACAGAAAGCACTACCTCTGAGGCAGCGTGTATGTTTGTATTTATCTTTCCCATTTACATTCTCTACAATTTCTCTTCAGAAACACCCATAGGGTATGTTGAATTTCAAAAGAAAAATCAGTCCTTTTCAGTTAAGAGGCATGTCTGCTCCGCACAGAGCATACAATACCACAGCAAGGTCTCTTCCACAGTCAGAGCTTAATTACTCAGAGGACATAAAAGAGAAGCACTCACCGAAGACTGCATCTTCTGCAGCTCCTTTAGAACAAATTCTACCTTTTTCTGGGTCGTGAGAGAAGCCAGCGAAGCACCATTGGACCTGCAGGAGAGCTTGGCATGATCGTAGTTCTCCTTCGCGTTCGTAATTTTCAAGCAGGAATTGCTAACCAAATGCCAGTTTGTTCCACAGATATTTTCTGGGAAAAAAAAAAAAAAAAAAAAGGAAGTAAAACCAAGGTGCAAGTGGCCTTCACAACATTAGAAGTGGTGAAGAGCTCTTCCACCAAAGCCTACAGCCCCATTCAAAACCAGCACGACTCATTGGCATGCTCAAAGCCATCTATGTACAAATCCTACAGAGAAGAAAGCTCCTTAGGGGAGCTGAAGTGTGACATTAGCACTTGGTTATCTGCAGTAGGTAGTCAAAGCACTTACTTCAACATCAAACGGTAAAATCATTTCAGAAGAAAAACAAATCCTGCTGTTGGTTAAAGCCATTTGTTCACTCACAGTTGTAAGGATACCTTTCAGCAGAAGAGGGTGGTTGTGCTAATTCTGTCCTCAGCACCAAACTTCCAACATCAATCCCCATTTAATCTTACCCACTAAAGAAAAAATCCTTAAGCTCTGTGGTACTTTCCCCCCACACTCATACCTACACTTATGAGAAGCACAATGGACATTTTCCACGCGAATTTCTGTAGAGCTGATGTCTAGCTCCAAAGTCTTGCTTTAGATTTATCTAACAGATTGAAAAGCTCTCGAGTGTGTTTTTTTCAGATGGGCTTTTTACCCCTTCTTCTTCTCTACTGAGAAATTAAACACACCAAGCTCTTCACCTGTCTCATTAGGAGATGTTTTTCTTGCTCTCATGGCTCTCCTCTGAAGCCTCTTCATTTAGTCACTCTCCCACACTAGCAGAAACCAGACCTGGACATGTCCAGACCCAACAGATTTAGGAGGCCAAAGTCTCTCCATGCCCATTTAAAGGTCCTGTCCATGTTGCTTTTCTCCCTTCTCTACATTTTATTAACTGTCAGTGTCAATCACTGAAGATGCCGCATTTCTTTCCCAGTCCCCAGGAAAAAAGAAGTTACTGTGGAGGGGACTAATAATCAACTCCCGTGAGCTCCCACTGGAAACTTGCTAATAAGAGAATTTTCCTTGGGCACTTAAGTGTTATTTGCCTAATGCGTCCACTATGTGCCATTCTGGTTTTGCACAATCCTAGTTTCTAAAATTAAATAGGCATGCATTATTAAACCCAATACCTTACAGAAGCCTATTATATCAGCAGTACTGCTTTCATCAAATGAAAAGAGAGAGATGAAATACGGGCTAATAATTATACAAATGATCACGCTTCTCTTCAGACAATTGGGGCTGAAAAATATTCCATCACACTTTCTAAATTTACTTGAAATAGAGTTTCATACTAGATTTGGTATGATTAAACAACATTATTTATTCCAGTTTAGCCCTAAAAGATCACAGATTTGTTTAAAAAACCACAGTTGGGTGAATTTGGAGTTTCTTACACAAACCCAAGCACCATCCTACCTGGTAAAGCGATGCACTCCTGATTCCTAGGTTCCCACTGGCAGTTCTGATCCATGGCACAGCTTTTACAACTTGTCCTTTTACTGCAGTAATAGGCAGGGTTATCCTTAGGACAATTCTCATAAGCAGTAATAGGAACCTAGAAGAAACAGCACAGGTGAAGATTTTTCCCATCCGCATGGCATCGGTCTGTAACTCTCAAAGACTAGCACCCTAAATTTGACATTTCAGAGCTAGAGGACAAGCTGTACGTTCAAAAGCTGTGACACTAGACAGCCCGTAGCATGCATTTAGGATATTCCCCCCAGGCTGGCATGGGACATCTTCCTCACTAGAGCTTTTATTAAAGGGTTAAGTATTTTTTTTTTCTAGGGAGGGCTCTAAGAGCAAACCCAGGTGGCTACGTGCCTTGGTGAACCTTCCATCACACTGATGGTGAAACCCACCTCTTCCCCTGCCCTTAGTCACACTCCTCACTTAACGAGCAGCGAGTCCCACAAAAAACCCTCGGACCAATTTGAAAATACAACCCTTAGCTGTTCAGAGCTACACATGCACTGGAAATAAGGAAGCATCAGGATTCATAATACTGACGGATGAAAACATCTGGCTATTTGCTATTTCAAAGGCTACACGTAAACTACAAAAGTAGTAGAGAGAGTTTACCTGTTCCTCTGTGCAGTTGTTATGCATTGAGATACACTGGTCAGTGCACCATTGACAGTTGTTTGTATTTGCTGTACAGCTATAGCAGTCTGTAATCTGATCACATTTTTCATTGTCTACAACTATTAAAGAAAAAAACCTGCATGACCAAAAACAGGCATTTCCTGACAGAGCTCTAAGAACTTGATTACATACAGCAAAAGACACAACCAAACAGTAGCGCCTGGAGATTTTCCCTTAGCAACTTATTAGCAAATCGGGATACTTTCGTTCGACTGACCGGACAGCAAACCGCCTTCATTTGCACCATCCATCATTTTTAGAGCCCGGGGATCAATAAAAGACAACAGCAAGAAAATGCACCAAGACATTGAAGCGCCTCAACTACGACGGGGCACGCGAGTTCAGTCCGTGCACATGCAAACGATGCCAGAGGACATTTCACAAGGACAACGAATATCTCCCACCGCAGGCCCATTTTGCTGAAAGCCTGGCCTTCAATTACGTGGAGCATTTTCATGCAAAGCTTGAACTTTCCACTTCATCTTTCCAATTGCTTATCGCCTGTGTTTTGTGAGAATTTATTGTACATTGAGAGCCCATCAAAGCAATGTCCCTTTACATCAATTTCTTTTAAATAATTAAAGGCTACAATCTATTACGGAATCAAGGTTCATATAATTCAATTCAGAGCAATGAAAGCATTGGGATAAAATTGTTGAAAAGTTGTTAAAAAGTTATCATATGGGAGAACACAGGAATCAGACCTTAAAACAAATGTTCTTTCTGTATGCCCTCACCCAGGCAAGACTGTAGAAGGCGAAATAAAGCAACTTTCCTTAAACCCTCCTCCTGCTGTCTCCCTCGAAGAGGGAGGTATGAAAAGATAGGGAGTGAGAGATGCCAACATGCCCATGGTAGAGGTCAGTCTCCCAAGGGCACGAACAGAAGCAAACCCACAGCCCCCCACCTGTAACAGCACACAACTACCGCGAGACAGAATTTGGAAAGGGAAATATCCCTCCATGCTTTTGGAAAGGGAAATGGAAAGAGGATGATGCATACCTGGCCGGGAAGGACAATCCTCAAAGACCTTTTGCTGCTGCTGTACCGTTGCCATTTCCCAGGGGACGCAGCCCGGGATGGTGGCAGCCCACACGCAGCGGATGCCAGGGCCCGCTCGCAAGCAGGCAGTTTCGTTGTCGAAGGCTTCGCATCTCTCCGGGGTGTATTTCAGGATGTCGCTCAGGAGGAGGCTGTTGAAGCCTCCGAATACATACATGGTGCTAGAGGAAATGTGAGGGAAGAAATAAAAAATTTGTGCCTGTTTTTATAGGCCGTGCGCTGCCGCGGCTCGGTTTTATTCGGGGTGTGGGCAAGGTGCTTTGTTATTTTCCAGCGTGCATAAATCCAAATGAATGGATCTTGCTTAAGGAAGGCACTAAAGAAAAGGTCAATCAAGTTGCACTGTTACAGAGAAGCCAGAGAATCTCAATACGTGGCTTTTGAGGCAGAGCCAAACCCATCCAAGATTAGGGCAAAAACCTGGGTGACACCTGATTAACACGATACAGAAAATACTGCAGTAGGGCAGGATCCTCCTGTAGAAAGGAAAGAGGCTAACATGGGGGAGACAGCATCACACCATTAAAGCAGCATTCAGGAACCGTGACAAAACAATTCAATGTTGTCACATCTTGCTACGCTGCTGCGACAAAACCACAGTTATTCTCCTGGCTGTTAGCAACCGAGCAGAGAGCCATTGTGTCAACTAAAGAAAAAAAAAATAAACAAAATAATGCTTTGAGGGTAGAAAAAAGGTGGTTTTGTTGTTGTTTTTGTTTTTAAACCTTCTCTAGCATCACAACCGCTTTAGGCATAACATCAAATTTCATCAGTTACACAAAAATGTACCACCTCAAAAAAACTGGGCATCAATGTTTGTAAATGTATATTATTTAACAAGACAGTGTAGAAGAGTTGATGCAGAAGAGTTGATGCAACTGAATGAAAGTTTGGGATGAATAATGAGTATTTTTAAACACTATTTTCATCCCATTTCAGAAAAGAGTGCAGAGGCTTAACCATTCTTCATGGGAGCAAATGGACAACTGGTATTCCACGTACGCTGAAACAGGTCGTAAGATTTTTCAGAGACATCTAGAAGTATGTGTTCCTTTTAAAGTTGATAGAAGTTTTCCACCTAGCTTACGCTGTGCTTTAAATAATATTCCTGATTTAGAAGAAATATCCTCAAAGGGTGAAGGAACTAGAATGAAAGACTGCTAAGAAATAGCGTGTCCCTGAAGACCCCCTCAAACTCAGTTCCACAGACTCAAATACAGCAGCAGCCACTCACCTGAGAGCATGGATACTGTCACAGTGATATAATGCTTAACACTAAAAATCTCACTTGTGGTTTCACCTGATTTCCATATATCATGTGACTGGCAGGTAAAGGCCACAGAATCACAGAATATCCAATTTGGAAGAAACCTACAAGGATCATCGAGTCCAACCCCTGGGTCCCCACACGATATGCTCTGTAAACTAAAGTGCAGCCAAGTCTAGAAACCACAAGGGGAAGTAGGATTTCAGAGGCAAAAGTTGCCAGTGGGGCTAAATATGGGCAGAAAGAAATAGAAATATGGAAAACAGAGATTTTTTTCAAAAGATTTTTTGAAGATCTAGTTGAGTTGAGACAGTTCAGTCAAAGTGCAGAAGAAGGGCTGATAGGGACAGGTGGGTACTGAAGACAGGACAAGAGTGAAGATCTGAAAAATTCAGATATGCAATGGAAAATCAACCCTTTGGTCTCAGCATTCCTAAACACACACACAAACTCTGTATATAGTGTACATATAGATCTCAACACACACACGTACGTGTATGTGCAGCTATATATACAGGTGTGTAAGTGTAGTGAGGTGCCAAAAATGCCAATGCGCTGCAGCTTGGTTGCATCCTTACCTGTTGTACAGCAGGGCAGAATGGCCGAACCTGTTCACGTCGTGATGGAGACCCGGGCGAGGGAGAACAGACCACTTATTGCAAGCTAGGATTAAGGAAAGATTATTTGAGAAAAGTACCCCCGGCATCATTAATGACTCAACTTAGGTAGCACTTTTCTTCCTGAAAGATCCCAGAGTGCTTTAATCTACAGCGAGATGATTCTACCCACCAGCAAAACACAAATCTCTCAAGTGAAAACAGTGCTTTCATAAACTGCTCTGGGTTATCTCCTTTTGCAAGACTGACGACTTTGTCTTCACCCCAGCTGCCACGGTATGACAAAAGGGGAAAGGAAAGAGGCAGTGGCTCTGTGCCATCATCTAGACTGATCATAAAAATCAAAGTTCTCAAAAAAGGAAAGCTTCACAGCCTCATGTAGAAGAGATTATTAGCTCCTTGGCAATCACGTGTAATTAAATGGCGGTGACTTGAGTTGGTTTTTTTCCATTTACTACTGGAATTTTTCACTGCATAACAAGTTCAGTTTTTATCTGTTTATACGTGAATTATTTGCAATTTTGCCCCAAACCAGTATCACTGAGAACAGAGACTTATCTTTTTTTTTTTTTTCATTGCAATTATACTCCTAGAGGGTAGCTATCCATGTTTTTAAAAATATTTTTCAGTCATCATAGCTTAAGGATTTTTGGTTGTTTTTCTCTTTTAATATAATGTGAGATTATTCCATCTTTTTCTATTAGCATAACATTTATAAGTTCTGCTTCATTTTTTACTTGGTTTCTCAGGTAATTTCTTCCTTTAGGCAGCGTGAAAAAAAAAAAAACAAGCTAAGAAACATATAACCCACTGAGCAATAAAAGGAACAAAAGCAGGAAAAGTCAGTCCAATTCCTACCACTTCAACTTTGCAAGGTGAATGGGATCACCTTGGGGGCTAACATCCCCGAGGCAGCTGTCTGTAATTTATGCAATTAAGGCAGAAAAGTCAATCTGCTGTGAAGATCTACAAAGCCCCGCAATACTTGCAGATTTTTAATACAAGATAATACTGTTGTTGCATGGACTGTGCCTCTGAAAAATAAACTCCACAGACCTCAACCGGTATCTAAACAAACCAAGAGAGCAGGGAAAAACAACTTTATTCTTTCTTTATGAAATTTAATTGAAGAATTGTTCAGTAAGAAAGCTGACCCTAAACTATGCACCTGTAGAAACTTTTATTGAAGAGTGATGACAAATAAATGACGTAAGATCCCGCTGCTTGGGTTTAATACTTGGGTAAATTGTGATTTTGAAGTTTATTTTTAAATGTCACTCAGTCTATTTTTGAAGAATTTAACCTAGCCCAGCATCACTCGTGAGACAAGCACGCATGGTTCCAATTTTTACCAGGAGACTTCAGCAAAATTGGACAGCAATTTGCAATTTTTTATCCAGCTAGTTGTGAATTATGCGAGGCCAAGAAACATATTTTTCTAGATTAATAGAAGGCCTGGAATGTTTTGCTTTCTAAGCTTCTTTCCCATCTTTACCAGAAGATCAAGTACTGGAAAAAATGACTGAGTCTGAAACTACAAAGAATTCTCTCCTTCCTGACTTATGAGTTAAGCCAAGCCTAAAACTGTCAATGCAAAGGATTTTATTAAATATATTACTCAAATGGAACACATATGCTCTGAAAACGTATGAAAACATCTGAAAACATCCAGCCTCTTTCTGCGCTTGGCAACACAACTGAATTTTTGAAGGGATAAATAGAAAAAAAAAATAATTTCTCTCCTGTGGGGAAGAGAGACGATAACATGAGTATAGACTATACAAATATCTCGCACTATATTAAAAAATAATAAAATTAAAAGCTTATTTAGAAATGCAAGAGAATGGTTACTTAAACTACAGTAACTGGATTTTGAGACAGGCTGCCAGGGAGATTTCTGTTCTTGTTTTAGGTACTTCCCATGTGTGAGATTTGTCTCCCCAGAGACAGAACTGCCCCAGGGTAGGAAACTCTTTTATAAAGGCCAGGGAGACTCATCTGGGGAGCATGAGGTGCTAACTGCAGTGCCCAGGACATGGGAAAAATGCTGTGATCCTTCTCTAGCCAAGTGCTCGCCCCGCCTGGGAGTCAAGGCAATTGCTTGTCCTGAGAAGCAGTGGGAAATGCTCGTGTGTACAGGCAGCTGAACCGATATCCCCAAACCTCTCAGACCAGGCACAAGCTGGATAGCTTGGATGGAATAAGCTCAAACCTGGTCAAGCACAAGGTAAAAGGATAAGAATCTTTAGTGCGTTATTTTCAGGTCTACCTGATCTGCAAAGCCCCGAGAATCTCAGCACACATCTCAGCAATGTCTGTCTGCATCCTACAAAAACAACTCTACGTCCTCACGACACCCAGTGCACATGGGCTGACCGCTCAGAAGTTTGGGGAGGGCAAGTGAAAAAAATTGACGAGGTAAATAAAAGAAGTCACTACAGAAACAAGTTTTAATAGTGACAGCTAAAGAGATGACCTATCTTTGAGACCTTGATTTTAGACTGAATTTTGATTCTGATTTTCTTCGGTCTCCCTACCAGCACCCTCACGTGTTCCTGGCTGTGCTCCTGGTCCAGTTCCCATCGTGTTATTCACTGAGACGAGGCAGAGCATGCAAGGAAAGCTGCCTGGCCATAAAGGGAATAAAAAAAGTGATTTTTTTTTTTTTTTGGAAGAGTTGTTCTTTCCACTTTCTAGCCTGAGACTCTCCCTAAGGAATGAGAGGGCACAGGAGCACCACAGGGCCCCCATCCCTGCCATGCAAAGTGCGATCAATGCAAGCTCCAATTCTTGGTTTTATTTGGTAAGAACTAGGGTAGCAGACTACATAGCCTATTTCCTGTAAAATGAACTGCCTTTTAACTACACCAAAACAAAATGAACAACACAACTGATGCATTTTTTCAAATTAATGTCATTTCTGTTCATTACATCTAATGAACAGTTCAATGAATCGGGGACAACAGTAAAATGTGTTAAGAAAGATCCATTATTATTGCTATACAACCTTAAAAAAATTACTCTCTCTTGTGCCTGTCAAAATACCCCTATTTTAAATGTTTTTCAAGTAAAAATTCAAAACAAACCTATCCAGGAGCACCCAGCAGATTCTACAGGGATGTGGTGTGAAATCAAAGCAAGCAGGGGAACAATCCCTGTAGCAGACAGCAAAATGCCACAAGGATGCCCGACCCTGCTAGCCCAAGTAATCCACTCACTGGCACATTCCTTTCACAAAGCAGGAGTGCCACCCCAGCAGCCAGTTTACGTGAGTATTTCAGGGAATCAATCCTGAGATCCCACAGTTTCGAGGAGTAAGGAGCAGAAGGTAGCATGTGATATGAGCACAGAATGGTGTTTTTCTCCAGCATGAATTATCTGGATGTGCATGCACCTTCTTTCAGATAATTTCATTTCTTCTTTTCTTAATGGCTGTCTCTCTCTCTCTCTCTCAAATAAATGCTGCCCTCTTCTGGCTCTTCAACCTCACCTAAACTTAACCCTTCAAAATAAAACCCGCCTGTTCAGCTTTATGATTAAACAGTACTTATGGGGACATTTATGCTTATAAAGCATACACAAACTAACTGACATTACAAACAGCACAGCAAAGCTGAGCCAGCCTTCAGTTAAAACAGGAGCACGCAGTGGACAAGCTGAGCTTCAGCAGTGCTTGTCACTATCCCAACAGCCTGCATTTCTCCTAACTCACGGATTAAAACCCGTTCAGAATCTCACTACAGCTTTTTGGCTGAGACGTTAGAACAATGTGCATTCTATCCAAGAAAATTTTTAACGCCCAAGGTTGTGTACAAACCGTTGACCACGAAACTGCTGCTCTATTTGCCTCGAAATCACTGCAGCAGCTCATTTGCTTGGTAATACGTACTAAGCTAAATGTGCTTCTCCTGATTACACATTCTTCTGCAGTATGCTTAGTAGCATTTGGTATGATATACCCAGCATGTAAATTAGTCTTCTTGAAGACAGCTCTTTGTGAATCTCTAAGATATTTTTTTTTATTATTATTATTTTTGCAAGAACTTACCAATATCATATGCCATAAAATCGGAAGAAAAGCACTTAGCGCCGTGGCTCATGGAAGTGTCGTTGTGCGTGTTTCCTCCAAACACCAGCATGGTTCCACTCATTATCACAGCAGTGTGCAAATAGCGAAAGAATCTGCTGTCTTTAAGAATTGTCCTTCAGAAACAAAAATATATGTATTAAGGAAACTGATCAGGACCTGGCAAAGGCAAATCAATCCCTAAATCCAAGCTGAGGAATGATTTGGGCACGTGGTGAAGGAACGTGGAGGTCCTATTTAATTAGTTTTCCTAATGAGATACTTAACAACTTTCTCACCAGACTGTTCAATTCCTCCTGTAATTTCGCTCTCACATCCCAATCTGCTTTCTAATTTATAGGAGAAATACATCTATGAAGGCATCTCGCCAAAGCTATGGATCCTAATCATCAATTCTTTCCCTAGGGATTATCAAGTTTTCACACTAACAGGGCTCAGTCAATTAAACCTGCTGATATGGACACTGTCTGGGGAAACTCCAGCCCAGGCAGTATTAAATTTATAGGAACCTAAATCATTCTTCTAAATTGGGTATCATCTCTTGTTCAAAACTAACGAAACTATTTCAAGGAAATCCATGCAGCTGCCAACAGCGGAGCCCTGCAGCTTAACACCTGGAGAACTGGATGCCTCACCCCTGATTAAACCACAGCTGGCATTAATCTTATTACCACTGACCTCACCTTTAATCAGCGTGATTAACAGCACTGACCACAAGCGGTCACCCTTCGTAGAGTTTCCCTGCTGTTCTGAGAGGATGTGACTGCAGGAAAACCCTGATGTGACCATGTCTGTGCTGCAGACAGAGGTGTCACGATTTGCAGGCTGTGCTGCTGACACTTCTGCAGTCCAGAAGCATTCCAAAGTCAGCAGGTACCAAAGCTGAGACTTTCACAGCAAAATAGCCAGGAAACGGGGTCAGGGACACATTCTTAGGGCATGAGCTGCGGTGTTGCAGCACACGGGGCTTGCTGAGCAGGGCCACAAGTGTCAGACTGTAAAACTGGCAGTCAAAACACTGGAGGGAAATGGGGAGAAACAAACTTGCCAGAATAAGGATTAGGAGGCTGCTTTTTTGCCCTTCCTTACCATGAAATCCTTGGAACCAAAGAAGGAGTCAGTAACACCAAAAAACCTACAATAAAGATGACCAGGCAGCAGGTGTCCTGCTGCAAGGTGACTGCTCGCCTGCTCTGCCTGTCCTCTGGAGGCTGACAAGCTGAATGCCATGAAAGGAATTTGGTGCTGGAACCCTTTGGAAGAAAATTGTCACACTTGTGACATTTACTGACTGTTCAGCCAGGTTTGCCAGGCTGAACGAAAGGATTAAATGAACCAAGAAAGGAAGTGAGGCTGTTACCACGTGTACTACTGAGCAACAAGGAAGATTTTTAGAAATTTGTCACTAGTCACTTTACTCATCAGTAAAAGCTCACCAACTGTTGTTGCAGACATACAAGCTATTTTAAACTCTAAGAAAAAAAAAACAATATGGTGAGTCAAAATTACACATGTTCATTCAAAAGACCAGCCTCCTATCTGAACGGAGCCTTTAAAAAAGCTTCAGTAAAAAACACAAAATTGAGGAAAACGTATTTCACGTCCACAGCTCAAAGTTGTGAAGTTTTGCTATAGCTCTCTAATGAAACTCACCTCTGGGCAAAAACCACTCACAGAAGATTTCAACTTAAGAAACAAATGTTTCAAACAGTCACACAGTCAGAAGAAAATGGGGTTATAATTGAAATTCTTTTGTGGTCTTAACTGCAGAATGAATTACCACTGACTTGACTGCAGTAACTGTGCTCGTATGCAGAATCTGTACTGCTGGCAAGAAAATCCCATCAAATATTTCTCTTTTCAGCTTTAATACAACAATAGATTAAAACGGATTTCTTGGCTCGTTTGCAGCCTTGATTATGTGTGATTATGTGATTCTCGAGTCATAAAAGACATAAAAATAACACATAAAGGAGCACGCTATCTATCCTGAATGCAAGTAACTCTGTACTACTGCACCCTTAGCAGGTAGCCCAGCCTCTTGCCCACCACTTAACAAAGGCAAGGGATGGTATAGAGGAACAAGAAGTACTTACCACATACGGGTATGAACTTCATATTTGTACAAGTCATCTGCTAGCCTGTATTTGTTGGCACTGAATGCCTTGTAACCTCCGTGGATATAAATGGATTCTGTCTTTGGATCATAAACACTACTGTGACCATACCCTCCTTGCACCAAAGCTCCACTTGTCTGTAAGATGCTCCACGTATTCGTGGCTGAGAAATGAAAAACAGGAGAGACAAACCACGGTTAATTTATCTCCATTAGTAACTTATCAAGACATCTGATGGTGAAACAAATTGGGTTTCCCTTGACTCAGCTCTAGACGCTGTCTATCACTTGACATCCAGAAGTGTTCTCCTTCAGGTAGCAAGTTTGTTGTCAAGAATTATTGTCAGGTATTTTTAATTAGGCCAGAAACATCTCTTTTGCAGTGGTTTATTAAATTTTGCAGACAAGCTAAGTAAACGAAAGATAAAAATGACAGAAATAATACACTGCATTTCGGCAACATGAAAATGAAAATGACAGCATTGTGGCTTGCTTTGGAGCAGTACCCAAGAGCGCTTTTATTTTACATATTTAAGCACTGAAGCCAAGTTACATATGACTGTGAAGAACACTACAGTTAAAAAATAATATATAATTAACGGTCCTATTCTGTCATTCAAAAATAATATTTGAAGCACTGCAGACTTAATATGATGGCAACTGAAACAAAAAAAAAACACCAAATTTTGCACCAAATCTCTGTAGCTAGTGCAGAATTTAGGAGCCCTAAACAGGGTTCCTAACTCCAGGCCAAATCCAAAACAAAAAAGGAAAAGGAACAGGTCAAAAGTGGTTATACAGCCACTACTTCTGACAATAATGAACACACTCACATTGTAAACTTCCTCTGCTTAACTATGTTCTCTAGGGGTGCAGTGGAGCAAGGGATATGCCTCCAGAGACATTTCAGTACAGCTGCTTTAGGGAGCAGTCCATTTCATCTGGAGAGCTTCCTACATTTCTCCACTGCTAAAACTAGAAATCTCAAGATCCTAAAATCAGTTTGGACTATTCCCAGAGATATGAAGTATATGGGAGTCCAGAAAGTTTTTCCCTGTTCCCCTAAGCATTCGATAATGACTGCTATGGGAGATAGGTATATCTGGTTAAATGGATACTTACTTTCAATTGCTACAACCATTCTTGCAGTCATAGGATACAAAAATAATATTGAAAATGTTTGCTTTGCAAGAAAGAAAGGAAAACAAATTCAAATGTCCCCCAGTTATCCTGCTTTGTCTCTCAGTTACAGCTTTTTTGCCTTTGGGACCTAATAATCTGTATACAGCTGGAGGCACGTGGCTGGTTGCTCACTATTTGACCTACACAAATGCTGGAATTTAGACCGAACCTCTCTTAAAAATAAATAAATGGAGAAGAACACAGGCACCTTAGTTTTGCTGTGTGAGTATGGACCACTGAAATGATTTTCAAATGTTAAAATGGACCCAAAAGGTAGGTAGGGTGCCACTCACCAAGATTGTATTCCTGGACGTTGCTGATATACCCATAGAGAGGGCAGTGCCCAAAGATGACGAGCATGACCACGCTGTCATCTTTCAAGGTGATGATGTGTGCCGAGTGGCCAACAACAGCATACTGCTCCTTGGCTTTCGGTGTCGCTTGAGTCCACGTCTGCCTGGGAATGTTGAACACCCACAGCTGGCTGGTCACGTTGCCCGTGGCATCTATTTTTCCACCATACATGTATATATCATCCTAAAAGAAGTTGGGTTTAAAATGAGGCGTGGCATTTAGGAAACAGCTAATAGGTAAATAACGAGGTTACCATATTTTAACTTCCCCCAGCCTAGGTTTGTCTCCTTACTCAAGGAAGGACAGCTCCCATCTCCTTCACTGGTCACATTTGATATGAAAGCAGCCATGACTGCCAGGCTTTGTACCCAAGTCCATGCTACCAGAATGCCTTCAGCACACAGAACTCACCTGAGATGAGGGAATGGAGGGGGCAGGATTGACCTTCAGATGACAGACACTGAAACTGAGGCGTCTGTATGCTACCAGCGTCTAAGCATCCTCTGTAAAAACAGTGAAGCCTGGAGAAGAATTCCCCTGTTTGAAAGCAGGGAAGGCATGCCTTTGGGTGAGCTGACTTGCTCTCCAGATTTCACTGCCTGTACTGAGTACATCTGTTTTCACTATAAATGGAGCTCAGAGGCTCCCCAAAGGCACCCAAAGGTAGGCACCTGATGTTGAGTGTTTTAATAATGCAAGCTGAACCCATCCCATGACTTGCAAATGCAAAATGCAAAAGATAGCTGGCAAGAAAGGCAGTTAAGATGGAAAATCTTGTGTCTGCACACTGAAAGCTTTGTCTCCCAAATAAATGTATTGACAAAAAAATAGGACCTTTTGGAAAGAAGGGTGAGAGGATACAGGATGATTAATAAAATCCTGCCTAATTAAGAGCTAAGCTCCAAAACTCCAACTAGTTTTATTCATGTGTTTCTCCCATGGATTTTTGAGTCATTCCAGGATGCCTGATGTGTGTAGTGAAGCCCTGCCTTCTTGCTGACAAGACAGTAACCTTGGAAAGGGAAATTCTCTAATAGAGTTGGCTTTTCTTGAGAAATTGCTGAGAACCCCCACCTGTCACTGACTATGAACCTACTAACAAGTGCCCAACTTGTGAAGTTACTCACAGAATGTGTATTGATCCCTTGCAGCTAGGGATTTCCATCTTTATGAGTTTTGTCGAGTGATCTATTTGTTAACTGGGCTGTGTGGAGTTTTTCAAGTGTTTTTAGTTATGCTTAATATAAGCTTCCACTGTGATGAGCTAATTAACAGTCCAAGACCAAAGATCAGTAAATAATTAGCTCGCTTCCTTCTCAAACAGACCAGGAAGCCAAAGACTTTGCCATTCTGCTCTCACGTGGTCTGCACTCACAGCAATGCAGGCAGGTGAGAAATGATTTAAGAAAAGTCAAATCCTCTTCTTTCAGATGCTGGAAGAACAGATTCATAGGTCTGTTGCATAAGTAGATCAGCTCCAAAAATCCCTAATTCTCAACTGGACCCATGGGAGCTCATTCATAATAATTACATGGGCTACACAAAAAGCAACTGGGGAACCAGAGGAACTCCAGCAAACTCCAGTCATCAGGCATGTCTTATGAGCACAGGCAGTGAGAAGGAAATAATTAACTCACTGACCTCAATCAGCCTTAAAAATTCTGAGAAAAGAGGGAAAGGAGGAACATGCAAGCAAATGCACTACAGAAATCCTATGATACCAGTTCAAGGGTTCCCTGGAGTACAAGTACACAGACTGGGATATCCATGCACAAGCCTTTGAAGAAGAAAAGCTTCCCCCAAAGCACGATTGATCTGTGCTGATCTGTGTGGTTAGCAGAGTAGGGGAGAAAAGGGAAAAAACACAGCTAGGTGATGAATGTGCAGCACTGAACTCACCTTATGTATCGCCAGCGAATGACCGTACCTCATCTCTACTGAGTTCACAGTGCTGTTCAGGGGAAGCCACTCTTCAGAAATAAGATCATAGCTGTATAATAAAAATTGAAATGATTTTCAGAGAAGTTGCTATCAAGTTGAGAAACTTAGTGCTTGCTCTTTCCAGAATTCGTTGGAAATTATTTAACAAGTGTCCCACCAAGATGTCAGAGCACACAAAGCATGCATGCAGACCAAAAAAAGATCCAGTCAAGCCTGCTCTGTTACTCAACATCCACGCATTGATTTGCTTTACCTTGAGTTTTCTTCCTCAAGAAGAGCCAAGAGCTAATGCATTTGCTCTTAAGCTATGACAATTTACACCAAAAGATGCACTGAAAACAGTAGGAAAAGGTTGCACTAAGCTCAGGTAAGTTCCAATAACTTGATAAAAAAACTGCCCGTGTTTAAAAGATATTTTTAATTATGTCTTTGTCATTCAAACATATTTTTTTCTGTAAACTTGAAATTAGATAAACCCTCTGCCCTGAAAATGGCCTCTGGCTTCTTAGATAAAAGAATGAACTATGTTTGCCAGGCTTAGAGCTGTATGAGATAAAATCAGCTCTGAGAAAGCATTTAATGAAGGCACGGGGTATCTGTTGAAAAATCAGGCATGACTTTGAAAGAGTAAATTGTGGATGTAATCAGCAACTGTTCTACAAGTATGTGTACATTTGTAGCTCCTCTTCAACTTCCACTAACTAAATGCACAGCTTTCACACAGGTCACTGAAAGTCAGGTATGCAGGTAACCCTAGAAAAAAAATCCTGTACTCGCTTTTGCCTAGGTATGCCAAAATTTTGTCAAGCTCCAGAGGAAGCCTGAAGTGTTTTTATGGGGGATTTCAAGGAGGATACACAAGTTTTACTTGATAACTTAGTAAATGCTAAATCTCCTAAACAGGTTCCATAAATGTCATCATCCCAGAATGCCACTCCCAGTTGGGATCCCATTCCACATCCACAGTAATCAGTATGACTCCATCGAGGTGTCAAACACTCTGGAGACACACAGACACAATATAATGAAGGGCTAATAACACAGAAGCAGAACTACCCTCTGCGAATACAAGGCTAGATATAATTTATAAGCTAGCCTAGAAATATATAGTAAAGAGTTGAATGCTGTCATAAGCAGGTTAACCAAAAACTCAGTGAATATTAGGAACCTTACATTTTTCTTTTCCAAAATTAGCACCCCTTGTCAGCATTTTCCCATGTCTCAAACGTGAGTCAAAGTTTTTTATTATTGCTGTTTCCCCTTGGAAATGGAGCGCAGGGGAAAGCACAGCACGTCAGGTAGCATTTTCTAAAAATAATTCACAGGTCTGTGTTGTTCTTAAAGTATGTTATCCAGGCTTATACTCACGCTAAAACCTTCTGAGAGTCAGAATGATTGAAGACATAGCCTCCAACAATCCACATTTTATTGTCATGGATTACGGCTTTGTGAGATGCTCTAGGAAGTTTTGGAAGAGAATATTCCTCCCGGGTCCAAAACGACTGGTTTGCGGGAACAGAAATTGAACAGCCAGGACCTGGGAAAAACAGTTTTAGAAGTTAAACCTTCTGGCAAAAGTCTGCATTTCAACTAGGAAGTCAGTATCCTGCACCACAGGTGATGAAGATTGTGCACGGCCACGTAGTCGATGGAAGCTCTGCTCGCCATTTCCTTGCCCACGGTAGTCATCAGGGATGGACCTCCCAACCACAACCACATCCTTCAATGCTAAAAAAAGGTTTCAGACAAAAAAAAAAAAAAAAAAAAAAGCAGTTCCAGACCAGATGAATCTGTGTTCTAGCAAAGCAGACAAACCTCTCTGCTCTCTACCCCTCTGATTAGAGAGGTGTTGTGCAGACCCTTTCCCACTCTACACTACAAAGGCTTCTTCCAGCATTATTCTTCCTCCCCAGGCTCTCACTCAGAAGCCCCAGGACAACCTGCAGAAGCTTCAGGAGAGCTGCTCAGCAGCACTCTGTAGAAAAACAAAGCTCATACAGTGCTGCTTGCTATCTTTCTCTTTTTGTTCCCAATGCTGCTTTTGTAAACTGTTTGTTTCATGTTTTATCCATATTTTTCTGCTCTTAAACTAACTTTGCTGCCAGGCTTTCCTTCACAGCTCCCCATGGGTTGGGGCTCCTGCCCATCAGGTGGCAGTAGGAGCTACGGGAAAGGGGCAGCCAGAAAAGCCATGCAAGGCAGAAGACCCACAAGACTTTGTCCGTGTTTCAGATCCCCGTCAACCAAAAAAAGCAGCACAGGCCCACCACAAAATAGCTAGCCTGGATCTTCCAGCTCCCTGAGGATGAACAAAGTCTAACTGGGCTGTCTGTTGTGGCTCCTGCAGCAGAGCAGAAGCAGCAAACAGCACGGCCTCAGTAAAGTACAGATCTGGATGGAAGCTCTCCCTTCTCAGTGACACCCATCCATACACATGGGGCTGCTACAGGACACGTTGAAGAGGCTCAGGCCTTGGGAAGGGAAAAGGTTTATCAGGACAGCCTTTAGGTAATCATAGAAGCAAATCACTGCGTAGCAGAGCTGCGATCTTTACTTCAAGAGGCACCATCCTGCTTGGTCTTGTTGAGTACCAGCAATAATCTTCAGTTCAGGGAAGCAGTCTGGAACATGGCCTTGAAAAACTCCCAGTTTCTAAGGTTAGAATCACAGAATCACAGAATTTCTAGGTTGGAAGAGACCTCAAGATCATCGAGTCCAACCTCTGACCTAACACTAACAGTCCCCACTAAACCATATCCCTAAGCTAACATTTCTAGATGTAAAAAACTTGAGAACAGGAAAGAGGAGGAGAGCAGCTTGCACCTCATTCTGTTGTGGTCTGTTTTGGGGTTTTTAGTTGTTGTTGGTTTTCATTGTTTGGCTCTTTGTTTTGTCTACACACTAACCTAATACTTAAGTGAAAGATGAGGAGAAAGAACAGCAGGGTAGGAATCCAGCAAATATAAATCCACCTTTCCTGTGAACTTATGCACAACCAGGCTCCAGAAAAGTATCACGAGACTCTGCACCACACAAGGGGATGTGGCATTCCAGCTGATTACAAGTATATTACCCTGAAGTACGTTACCCTGTGGCTACTTTTGTCTGAGAAGCAGGTGTGTTAACCTCAGCACTGCTGCCTCCTCTCTAGGACACTCGTTTTGCCAGCCTAGGATTCTTTCTGCACTGGATGTTTTTGCAGCATAGCTAAGCAGTGGCAGAAGTTGCTGTCTGTGCTGTCACTGGTGGTATTTCACAGGAGACTATTTCTACTGCATCACTCTATCTTTGCAAAGAAAATACGTATGTTTGGTCCAAACTGCTGCTAAAACTGATGTAGCTGACAAGCACACCTGGACCTGAGAATAAAGCACTGTATGCATTCGAACAGGTTAACTACTGCCATCATATCATGCTCAACTTAGCTTTAGGTACAAAGGAGCAAGGTTTGAAGGTTGTGTGTTGTTGGTTTTTTGTTTTAGTTTTTATCTGATGCTGGCACAGCAACAGATTGGTGCTGCTTTGTACAGTAGCACAGTTGCTTTAATAAAAATTTGTTCCCAGTGATACTGAAAACTGAATGATACCTATTGATATGAAAAGCTGGATGGTACATTTTAACTCTGTTCTTAGTTTAAGTACTAATACTTGTCGGTCAAAATGGTCTCAAATGCTTTGAAGAACCACCTACAGAAAAGGCATCCTTTTAACAAGAACTTCTCCTTATTAATCAAGAGACTTACCTTGCCAGCCTGCAGAGCACAAACACGTCTTAGTATCATTGAAGTCACAGTACCCTCTCTCAGGTGCCCCACAATCGTCTGCGCAGTAGGGAATATCACAGGCTTCTCCTTCCAGTACTTGGCACATTCACATTCAAGAGCGTTGCTGCTGTTATTCAGCTTGCACTCTCCTCGGCCGGAGCAATTATTGGGACACATATTGAAACTGCAAACATCAGAGAAAGAAGGTTCGTCAGTAATGAAACAGGCTCCTAAGCTGCATCTCTTATTAAGGAACACAAGAGTGATGCTGAAGAGAAGTTAATACAGCAGTTCAGCCGTTTCTTAGTATACCAACCAACACGAACAGCTCATCTAGAACCTGACGTGATGGACCTGCATGCATTAGTTCTGTACCTGTCATCTACAGAGCACCCTCACTTCATCAGTTAAACACACAACAACTCAGAAAAATTATCAATAAAATTTTTAGCCATTTATAATGCGAATGAATTGTCTCAAAATCCCCAATATTAAATGAAAAATGTAATCAGCACACAAGGCTTTTGTGATGTCTGTGCAATTTACACTTTAACTACTCACAATTGCATGTTATTCCAGGATCTGCTCGCCAAAAAAACACTTGAGATGAATCCCAAGCCAAGGACAGGTTTCTTTTGAATCATTTCTGATTTAATAACATTTGCAACATGAGACAAGACTAGATGCATCCTTGCTGAAGATCTAAATTCTGAGACCTTATTCTTTTCCACTCTTTTTTTTTCCTCCAGTCTATTAACCAGCATAATTCAAAGGCTGAGATTACGAGCCAATATTCCCACTGTCATGCGACAGGTGGAGTCACTGGCTCCAAGACCACAATTTCACAGGTATTTCTCAAGTAGCTATCTCCAGTAGTAACCATATAAAGACTGATAAACTGGGAAAAAAAAATATAAAGACATCTTTTTATCTCCTCTCCTCAAAAAAATGAGGAGAAAACCTATTGACCAGAACAAGCAGAAGAAAAAGAAACACACAGAACTGTACTTGAAGATTGTTTGAAATGATCAAAAAAGAGATGAGTTAAAGGAAAGAGCTGAGTTAAAGCGACATTAAAAAGTAACAGAGGAACTTTTAAGGGCAGCTTATTCTTGAATTTCTCAACTGTGTCACAATAGTGCAATACTGACAGCTGGCTGTAGATGGTGTCATGGTTTATGATATCAACCAGCCTTTCAAAATGCCACTGCTTCAGCTGCTGTGTTTCAAGCCACTTTGCAGAAGCTCCTCATCTTCTGGATGCCCCACGTTTTTCAAACAGTCAACTGTGTAATTTAAGGGATTAAAAAGGAGAAAAGCACCAAGACTGCTTTCTAAACTAAGCACATCATTTTAAGGAAACCTTTAAATTTTGCAAGAAGTCAACTGTGATCAAGGACTTTGCAGCTGATTTTCCTGAAGACAGGGGTGAAACATCCTACAGTTTCACCCAATTAAAATCTCCTACTGCAGCACATAACTAATTTGTATCTGTATGAGCTTAAAATTCAAAGCCCACAATTCCCACCAGAATCAAGAATTTTTATCTTTACCAGTATTTCCTCACTGAGATCATTTACTCAATAACTTAAGCTTTTTAAAAGCAGTCAATTTACACTAAAATTAATTATAAAAATATGTGGACAAAATATATGTCTGTGAACAGAAAACACTCACCTGTAATACTTCAAATACGAAACAAAAAACCACACCACCACTACTCCAGAATAAGAAGCCAGACTAAGCAATTCAATCCAAGAACTGAATAAATAGGAGCATCCCAAAGAAAACTGCTTGAGGATCCTCAACAGATACAGTCCAGTGTCCCAAATGAAACACGTACAATTATGCAAAAGCTTTTTTGTGCAGAAGTATCTCTGCAGAATGCACAAAGGCACACAATCTGTCAGTTCTGACTCAGTAAGATCACATAAATCTGATAACATCAAATAAATAATGTGATGTCTTTTTGAGCAAGCATTTGCTCATGCTTACAATTGACAACTGAAGTTAATGTTGAGCACATTATCATCATTAGCCACTCTAAAGAGTCCAGTAGACAATCTAAATTCAAGTATCTACTCATAATTACACACTTCAATGGCAATTGCTTATTTCAAGACAAGACTGAGGAAGGAGGAAACCTTTTACTCAACCTGCACTGTTTATGTAATCTCCAAAATCACTCTGGAGTGGTACTACTTACTTATACGTGATGTTAAAGCCAGTCAAATTATAGGCAGCATCACTGAAGAAATGCAGAAGAGCATATCCAGAAGTAGCTACAACTTCGGGTACTGTTTCATTGCTATCTTTCTCAGGAACAATAAGACCGCTGAAAAAGGAAAAAAAATAATTGGAAATTAAATAAAAGGGAGCAAGGCAACAATAGTAAAGACAGTATGCACATAAAATAATTGAAAGTGAAGGTATTTATTTGCATTTATTTGAAGTATAATGAATTTGCGTACATTAATCCTCATTTTTGCAGAGCAGCGTTATCAGACTGGTTTTCTTCAGCAGAACTTCTCAAATATTCAGAAGAAAAATGTCTCACCATTGTGAGTATTCACACTCAAAACTGCCACAAACTCGCAGGCCTAAGAGCTCACAAGACCCTGTCGGAAAGATAAAACCACATCCCACAGGGACCAGTTTATGAAGCCCCCCTACACGTGATCTGCAAAATCACATATCATAACAATTAATTTACCTTTCTTCTGAAAGGTAAATGTACATTAAACGCTCTTAGCCTGAGCAACCCTAAAGCTGTCTGTAATCACAGTTTTCCTATTCTTACAAAGAAACTAATTCCCTTTGTATTATTCTCCCACAATTTAAACAGGTCCCGTTCCCGAAACAAGGTGACATGCTTCAAGACAGAAATTAACGTGTCACAAAAGCATAAAAGCTGCTGTAGCAGGCAAAATTACAGGTCTGTCTAACCCAGTATCTTCCTCTGACCATGAGGAAGGATGAAAATGCTTGGGAAAGACTGTAACAAATGAAGCAAGTATGGAGCATCCTAGCCACGTAGTTATCCAGCTTCCAGAAAGCCACAGCTCAGGGGCTTTCTGACCCGGAGAATGCACCCACGCCAGCACATTTAAATAAACCAGTCATCTGTGCTTGGAATTGCTTTCTCAACCATTTATACCCTTTTCACCTGGAACATCTGCAGCAGGGAGGTCAACAATTCAGCTCTGCAATGGGGGAGAGAGAGAGGACTTCTATGCTCGCTTTACATCTGCTGCCTGATCGCCCACCAGCACCCCTTGGGCTCTTCCACTACGAAAATCAAATTTTACCAGGAAGGTTTAGATGGAATAGCAGGAAGAATTCCTTCACGGAGAAAATGATTAAGAGCTGCCCAGGGAAGTGGTGGGGTCCCCACCCCTGGAGGCATTCAAGAGATGTGTGGACGTGGCACTGAGGGACGTGGATCAGTGATGGGACTCCAAAGATCAGGCTGATGGTTGGCCTGGTGGGATCTTGAAGCTCCTTTCCAGCCTAGAAGATTCTGTTATTCTACTCGAGGCACAGCACAGATTGATACAACGGTTTGCCAAAATACTTGAATAAACTGAAAAGGGGAATGAACGTCTCTTGAAAAAAAATGAACTACAAGCTATTTGCCTATTGCACAAGACGGTCAGTATCTGAAAGGGAATGTTTACCCTGCTTTTGACAGAAGCCTGACAACAACAAAACAAAGCCAGTTCCTCCCTCAGACAAAAGCCATGAGAACAGCCATGAACCTGAAGTCTATTGAATGCCTTTAAGCCTTTATCTAAGCAAAGCGCATTGACTACCACCACCTATTAATAGCCAGCTCTTATTTTTCTGACACAGAACCCTCTTCCCCAGCAGCCCGAGTCCTTTTTCAAACAAAAGGCCAAGCTGAAGCCTTAAAAGCAGAGCCCAAAAGGCTGGGCACAGCCCGTCAGGCCAGGCTGCAGGCAGGCAGCACACACGGCAGCAGGGAAAAGCAGAATTTTTCTCATTAAAAGCTCTTCTTTATCCTCTTTTTGGCCATGTTCAGAACAGAGAGCTTCCTAGGATGGGGTAAACGCATCTCCATGCCTATGGAAGATGCTAAGAGCTACGGGCAGCAACCCATGCACATCACCCGTAAAGCACTATTTGTGGCCACAATTTTTCTGTCCCCATGATACGATACAATGATAGAGAGAGAATAACAGACACCCCGTGATCTTTATCAGCTTTTATTATAAACAGGGGGTGCTTGCACCACGAACAACAGATGAACATTACCTATGAGAGGGTAAATGTACAAGTTGTCCAACGGCCCTTCGTGCACGACTCGGAGGCTGCTGACACGAAGGCATGCTTCAAATCACCAACATGCCATAAAACACAGGAACCTCAACTCATGTTTTGGCTAACCAGCTCCAGCACACTTGCAGATATGTAGCTCAATAAATATTTCCATGTGCAAAAGCCAATTATTTTTTCCCTTTCAGATCCCAAGGATACGGGATTAAAAGGCAAAACACGCTGCCTTTTTTTTTCTCCGTGCGTAAGAGGTGCCTGTTTTGTTCTGAAATTTGAGACTTCTGATCTGAAGATCATCTCTCCCCAAAGACCATCTCCCGAAACATCAAAGAACAAAAAGCCTAATAAACTTCTCTTTGCTGTTTGGTTCATATATAGCTTTCCTTTGTAATGCAAACCGTCGGACAGTACGCCTCCACCGCAGGAAAACAGACATCTGAGTGTAAGTCAGGGGAAGGCAAACTACAGCTCGGGGACCAAAGGAGAAAATTCCTTTGTTCTGTTTTATTCTTCTTTGGTCTTATTCTTGCAGCACGTATCACTGATATTACCAGGCAATTCGGCTGGACAGCCTGCAGCAGGGAGAAAAACGGCAGCAAACACAAGCCAAAGGACAGAACAGACAGCAGTGATGAAAAGGGACAAAATCCCCCCAAATAACCATCCCTGATAAAATGACCAACACAGGAGTGGTGTTCGTTTTCTCTTAGAAATCTCTGTTTTGGGATTTGCTTGGGCAGAAGGCAGGTACCTCTGCAGAGTTAGCTCTCCCTCTTTCTTACCATATTTTTCTGCTTTCCTGAGGACAAACAACATGAGGGACCTTCCCTGGGTGCCAGTGACATTTACCGAGACACAGACGTGGTCAGGCTTGGATAAGAAAAGCAATTTTAGCGTCACTGGAAGTTTTACAGAAGCTATTGAGTAGTGGAGAAAGATTCCTAACAAACACAATGACTTGTGCGACTCCTGGGTAAACACCCTAAGGGGATGATATCCCACCTGTACAAGTTTTAAAAGTCCTAATGAAATTTAAGTGCTAGATCAAAGTAATTTCGTTCAGAGAAAGCAGTGAACAGAACAGAACAGAACAATAACCATCAGGCACTCGAACACAAAAGTCAAACTTCGAAAAGTGTGCATATATCAGTGTGCACAGCATCATTTTAAAGAAACCAGCGCACAGAATATTGGCATTATCTGCCACAGAAAGTCCTCTAGGCAGACTCCGAATGATAATGGATCACAGACAACTTCCTCTAAACGACAATCCAGAATCTCTCCGACTCGGCCAAGATTAGCCTATTGCACAATGCACCATCCCTCTCTCGTTTTAAAAGCTTTCCAACCATTTCACAATCACCACTACTCCAAAGCAAACAAATACTCCTACTCAGCTAAATTGCCCAATGACCCTGCTTCTGAGAAGTTGAAAGGCAAGCCCGTTTTGCCCTGAAATACTCCTATTTTGTGCACTGGACTTGTAGAGCCAGCGGCAGTCAAAACAACCGCTAGGACACCCAACTTCACTATCGCCTGCATCGTGCCTTGCTCTCTTCCCACTGCACCATGTAGCAATGGGAATTAGTTAAAAAAAATGACATCTCCTCTATTACTTTTCCATCATTTGCTATGCAAGCATCGCAAGAAGCGCGTGTTCATCCTTTTCTCTTGAGACACAACCTGCCAGCACAGCAGAGATAAAAAGCACACGGAGCTCTGCGGCTGCCTCGACAGAAACCAGTCGAAAGGATGGAGCTGTGAAAGGAGAGGGGGAAATGCAGAATCCAGATCACACAGAAGCAAAAGGATAAAGGTGACACCAAAACACTGTAGTTATATTGGCTTTCCCATCTACTGACATGCAGTGCAAAATCATTCTTTTTCTCTTTAGTGTTGAGTACTGGGAGTCAACTGGGGGCAAGTGTGCAAAACCACACCTGATTACAAAACGCTCCGTGCATGTCAGCCACGCTCACAAGAGCAAAAACAACAATAAACAACCCCAAAATAGAAATTACAAAAGATGAAAAACAAATCAATGCCAAAAAGAAAAGCGGGGGAGGGATAAGGAAGCATCTCAAATTTCTTGTCGTAAAGGAAAAGCTAACATTCTTGTGCAACAAGATGACTCCCAAAAGCAGACTATTTTTTAGGAAACGAAGCAATTGCAGTAATACTTAGAAAAATCTGATTACTGAGATCTGGCAATACCGTAAAATATTTTTTTTTTCTTGAAACCATCTTCTCCTGTTGCAATATGCAAAAACGCAGAAGCTGCAGCAGCAGCACAGGGCATGCCCTGCTCACAGGGCCCACCAGAGCAACAGGGCTTGTCCTAAGAAATTCAATTCTTATGTGTTGCATTTCGTCCCCGAAACAGCAGAACAAGTTGTAAACGTATTAAAGTTTGTCTCAGGAGCCTGTCAATAAGTTTTAGCGATGACGCCATGTGGTGAGTGTGACTGTAAAAGCCAAATTTCAAAAGAACATGAGCTGAAAAGCCTCAAAAGCAAAAACATTTTTTTTTTGCCATAATAATGAAGTAGTTTTAAAGTTTAAAAAAATGATTTTAATATCTAACCATCACCTTTCTCTCCAGGATATTCGCCAAGGTGCTAATGCTTTTCCCTTTAAAAATAAAAATCAAAAAAGTCTGTTATCATTTAATACCTGTGAAGCTCAGTACAGGATATTTGAATTAATGGAAGGAAAAAAAAAAAAAAACACAATATCTATCACAGTTTAAGAGAAAAGAAAGAAGAAACAGAGGATGAGGAAACTTTCTGTTCTAAACTCCTCACATATCTCAGTTTAACTTACTGGATTTATCTTCTCAAAACCTTGAAAGAGAAACTCTTTGTCCACCTTGTCAAACTGATCTGATGTTTTCTGAGGGGATTACAGGTTTAGTGAACAGAAGCAGTTCTGATACAGCGCATTTACATTTCTCTAAGAAATCTGACTTCCCACCACAAAGATACTTTGATTGATCAATTCTCACACGTTCAAAGCATCAGCTGGCTCACTGGCAAGCTCACGGAGTCGATGTAAACAGGAGAACATCATTTGGAGGTAAATTTCTAGCCAAATCCCAAATACCTTTCCTCTTCAACTTCTATCAGGTTTTTTCAGTCAATACCCTGAAAGGTGTTGTGGATCCAAAGAAGGCAAGTAGAGCAGAATACTAAATACTTGGAGGTATTGCTAAATGGTGAAGGGAAGGGATCGTCCTGCTCTGCTCCGCACTGGTGTGGCCTCACCTCGAGCAGTGTGCGGTTTGGGCACCACAATATAAGGACATGAAGCTGTTAGAGAGCATCCAAACGAGGGCCACAAAGATGGTGAAGGGTCTGGAGGGGAAGATGTGTGAGGAGCAGCTGAGGTCACTTGTTTTGTTCGGCCTGGAGGAGGTTTTGAAGCTGAGAGAGCAACAAATGCCAGAATTAAGCAGTCCCTTTGTCACACAAAGCATTGACACCCACACTCTGCCTATCCACGCAGCCCACAAGCACTGCTTCTTCCTACGTTGGTTAGGCCTCTGGATACTCCCTAACACAAATAATACTGACTCAAAGTGTTTTGCACCTTTCTCAGCATCAATAATCCTCATTCACAACCCCCCTGCCGTGATGAGGTGATCATTAGCTCTAATCAATGGAACCAAGCTGACCGCAAGGTGTAAGCAGGGCTTGCAGCTTAGTTCAGGACGGGCACTGAGGATAAAGCTGAAGAAATGCACGAGTATTTACATGTGCCTGTGGCAAAGAAATCGGGGTTTGAGGGAATAAAAGGAAAACACACTGCAAATAGGAATGGGAGAAAGAGGGAGGGCAGAGGAGATGCGACGTGCCTGCACAGGGAAGGACACGAGGTTCAGAACAAGAAGTTTCTGTCTAACTTGGTGAGGAAAGTGGAGCCAAGAGCTCTCATGAGACCACACTGATTCCAGTTGGAGGCTCCCAGTAGGAAACACAAACTGGAGCAAGTCCAGCTGATGGCCAGGGGCCGAGCACACGACCTGTGAGGAGAGGCAGGAGGAGAGAGGTTTGCTTGGCCTAAGGCCAGGAGGCTGAAGATAGGGTGAAGCCACCCGAAGGGGCGATGAGCAGAGGAGGCAGCACCAGACGAGGTTCACAGCAAAAGGACATGAGGCAGAAGTTGACAGGAAATTCTGATTAGATATTAGGAAAAGATTATTTTTTCCCATGAGGGTAAGCACTGGAGCACTGGCTCAGAGAAGGGATCTCCGTCCCTAAGAGCTGCCCACAACTTCACTGGACAAGAACTGGAGGAAGGGCCCGATCCAGCTCCCAAGCCGGCCTTGCTTTGTGTTGGGGAGATCAGAGACTTCCAAGGGGCCCTTCCAACCCAAATCATCCCATGTTCTGCACCCAGTCCCAAATCCGGGCTAAGTGCCACATTCACAGGAATTAGCCAGAGGAAGATGAGCTCTTCCCATTTTCCTGAGGGCTTTCAAGCCAGCTCAGCAAACAACCATGGGGTGGCCGCCACCACCACAACCTGCCACGTGGTGCCGAGCGGCCTGTGAGGGCCTTCGGAGCCACAGCCTTACAAAATAATATAATTTTTTGAGGAGGAAAAACACCCTGCGATGACCAGCACGAACTGAAGACATGCCCAAGAACAGCTCCAGTAAATGTTTAACACGGAGTTAAAAACGACGACGAAGTTTACAGGCGATGAGTGCATTTTATCCGCTTCGGATCTCTTTGTACTGCGCAGATGAGCACACTGGATTTTTATTACCTCCGCATTCCTTTGCTGCATTTTTGAAGTAACATATTTATACGGTCTCATGTTGCCTATGACCACAAACATAAATGAGCAAAAATATTTTTAACTCTGCTCAATAAAAGAAAAAATGAATGTATAGGACTGGATCTCCCTGGGACACAAACTACAAGGAGTTTAGCAAACATTTTATGCAGATTCTCAGACTATGTAAACGTTTGCATTAGACAAATTTCTCTTTTGCAGTTAAAACTGATAAAATTAATTTAATTTTTTCTGTAGTCTGATGCTGAGGATCTCCAGGGTAAAGAGCATATTTTAACAAAGATATGTAAAAATCGGAAGGTCAGGAAAACAAGAGAAGAGCAGTGAAGGAAGTGAGGGCTCAGGCTACTTCTGTACAAAGCCAGGGAGGTAAAAAGGCTCTGGAGAAGCCACGGAAGAATTTACAGTGTTTATCAACAAACTTGAAAAGTTTACAGTGCCCAAAGGTACAAAGCTCAATCTTGCAAATCCTCCTGGCATGGTGCAAAACATAGTAACGAGAGAAATATGGCTCTGGTTAATATTAAAATTTAACATCAGACAAGAAAGTGATAAAATATGAACATTTCTCTCGAGAAACTCCAGTGCATTTATTTTTGGATCAAATGAAGGTATTTTTCAACAGATGCCTTTTTCGCACTTCATCAAAATTAGAAGCATCTGCTATTTCTTGATCTTGGTTTACTGAACAACACAGCGCAGTACTAATGAAGATGAAACTCAAATGTCATCTAAAGAAGCAATTAAAAAAATAATTGATTTTTTTTCCTACCTCAAAAATGTTATTGTATTAAGCTCACGCTTGCTTGTCCTCAGGCACAGACTTCCTAGTGATTTACAGATGATTTTAAAGTCTGAACCATTATTGTTAATGCTGTGAACTATTTAAAACCTCAATTCAAAAAGCCTCTTAATTTTTGGAAAATACACAAGAAACTGCAGGCACAAATCATGATCATTTTACCTTTTCAACGGAGTATTAAAAACTACCTCGATTAGAGAAAAACAACAATGAGTCAAGATGACATCTTTCCCCTTTATGCATATCAATTCAGCCCATGATACAAAAAAAGTACTTCCAGGTTTTTGAGAAGAGAGAAGGTTTCCTCTTCTTCAAATGGGGTTAGACTATCATAACAATTCATTTTGACATTAGAGATTGGGGGTTTAGAGAACGCATTCTTTCACTACAAAACCATTTAAAATCTGTATGTTCACTTTAAGACCAGGAAAAGAAAACAATTTATATTTTTTGTTCCATTTTTTGCTCCTGTGCTGATCTTTTCTCATAGAGATTACGAGGACTTGAAAATAAACATGTAGCATTTTCGGAAATTCATTTCAAAAATAAAAGAAACACAGCAGAAGGTTAATTCTGGAGATAGTGGATGAGCCACTTGGAACAAAAAGAGTCCGAAGGGAACCATTAGTTTTTCCATTCACAGCTTGGGATTATTTTTCTAATTTCAGCTAAAAGAATAGAAAACATAAGGTGGTGCCTGTCGCTGAAAGACCGAAGCACATAAATGCACAAGTTATATTTAGATCTCTTCGTGAAATGTCGACTGTTAACCAGCATCGACAAATTAGTCTCTCACCACAGACAGATGAGCCAAATACCAGTCATCCATCAGAAGAACAGACATTTTTACATGTTTTTACAAGGTTATCTGACCCATCACTGTTGTTTCTGAACATGCTCCAAAGGGTTTTAATGTTTTGAATGTAGGGTACGTAAGGCTACACACAGTTCTTTACAAACTATATGGCTGCGACGTTGATTACTTAGCTCCCACAGACTACAAGCTAAACCTATATCATAATCAAGCTTGATAAACGAGGCAGTTTTCCACTTCAGAAAGAGCCTGTATACCAAATTAGCTCAAGTTCAGCAAGACGACAATAAATGTGTCTAAAATGATTTGGAAATGAAAAAAACAGTACAGTGAGCAGATCACGTTACGACACTGTAGCATGTAAAAGCAAAAACAACTCCGTAATTGTTTATGCTGCTGCTGACTGCACAAAAGGACACTGTATGTGCTGTATTGGCAGTATTATATATTTAGGTTACTGGAACATGTTTATACTGCTAAAAGCCACATTCGATTCAGGCTCCACGTTAAAGAAATATCACTGCATACAGTCAGCTTCTTACCAAATGAACTTACCTAAAAGCTGCCAGTAAAGGAGCATAAATTGAGTCTCCATCATACACATACAAGTGGTCCCAACTGCACTCCGTGGCAAAGTGATTGAATCGAAGCCTGAGGATTGTGTTTGGCCTGCAAAAAAATGATAATAAATTAAAAAAAATTAATTAGCCACTCGACGTACATGGCAAAATCCCTCCAAACTCCTTTGGTGTGAAGCTCCCCTCTACACAAGACTAAAACTGAGTTGTTTAGTGTAAATACAGATGCATCAAACGTGCTGTGGCTTTCATTTTTGGTGTGCACGCTCCCCTGGTATGAAGGAACAGATTCTTTATGAGCAGAAAAACAACTGTGTCCTTAAATATTCCCCCACCACCGACAGCAGAAATTGAAGGGCATGCACAACCAGCCCTCTGTTCTTTACCAGTACTGAACTCCCCTAATGATAGGGCACTGCAGGGGGAAGCAAGGAAAATCCAACTGTACAACACATGTGAAGAATCACAGCCACCATCAGGGAATTAACAAGCCCTCTTTTGCTTGTTCAAGGGATTTTCTGCAGATTGACATGATTATGATGGCCTCAGACTATTTATTTGCTTGGAAACTGGCAGAAATCCTTCTTCTACTACTTTATCACCCTATTACATCTGCAGTAAGGCATGATGGCCCTATTGAAAGAAGCCCATCTAAACTGGAGATCAGAAATATGTTACAGTGGATGCTGACTAAAGACATTCTCAGTCTTGGTCAAGAAAATGCAGAGGAGGCTTGTCCTCTACAGGACAGGAGGTCCTGGGGCATCAGCTTTTGCCAAAAGGGAGGTTTTGAATAATTACTTGTGCTGCTGGCATGCACCAGCCACTGCCCCTCACCCTTTACAAATGCTTGACCCGTTTCTCGGTTCTCTTCTGGAGAATCATCAGAAGCAACATCAGGACCAGCTGAGAAGAAACAAGCTGGAAGTCCCAAAATGCAACTTGTCAATGCAAGAGTCAAAAAGCATCTGCTCTGCTGACTTAGTCAAGAGAAAACCATCAGGAGGCCTGATCCTCTGAGACATATCAGCAGGAAAGATGTTCTGTTCACTTGATGGGGAGATGGAAGGAGCAGTTCAGGTGCCAAAACTCAGCATTTCTTTTATTCCACAGGTAAAAGATGCCCAAAAAGCCATAACCACATAATGAACCACAGATACCGTTAGCTTCATGGCTCACATACAAAGATTTATCTCAAGATAATCCCTCTAGATCCGCAGCAGTTACCTAATTCAGCACTCAGCTCAAGGTGAGTGAAAACACCACCAGCTTTGTGCTTGGACCCTGAGATAAAAAGGAAGCGGATCTATAGCTGTGCTTCTTTCTCCTACCCATGGTGGTGGCTGTTGAAAGGATTGATGCAGGTGATTAGGATTTCTTCAACAGAACTGCCCTTGGGTTCAGATGAAATCGTCGTTCTCCCTAATCAAATAAATTAATAAAATGTCAGCCTGCCATAGAGTCCTTCCTTCCCACAGAAGGGGAATTCTTTAGGAAGTTATTCTGCCAAAGAATAATTTCTGGTAGGCACGCTGCTCTTCTCCAGGCCTTTGGAAAAAGAGCGGCAGGTGTAAATCAAGGATAATGTCTCACTTAAAGAAAAGGTACAAAGAGCACTTCATTATTTTAAAACAGAGCAGACTATGAAATCGTAGGGGGTTTGCTTCTATTTTAATGGCCTGACAGCTGCAGAGCAGAAAGGAATCCTTAATCAATAAAAGCTTTAGACCAAGAACAAAAAGAAAGAACATCCACGCCACAGCTAACAACTCATTAACGGACAGCGCTCATTTGCGGAGCTGCAAGGCACCGGGCTACAGGCTCTGCTCATCTGCCTTGTCTCGTGCTTCTGGGGAATAAAGGACAGCACACCCCCGGCACAAGGACACAGCACACGCACCAGCCGAGAGTCAGGTAAGGTGTGAAAAGGAAATATTTACAGGAATATGTGGCTTTTAATCTGAATTTCTCTAGTACCTTCAGCTGCACGCTTTGGTTGTACCTTCACGTGCTAACCTCAAAAGCCCTCTATGTACCAGTGTGCTAGCACCGAGCTGAAGGCACTTAGCAGAATTTAACAGCTTTGCAGAAGCTGCTTTCCAAGCCCCGATCTCTCTGGGAATTTCACATTTGGCAGAGAGCTTCGACTATTTTCACGAGGGCGCATATTTCAGCTGGCTTAATCAGCGTGATCACCTCCTTTCTGTTTAGCACCGTGCTCTGACAGCAGGGTACAAACAATCAGAAGCAGGAAAAGGACATCTGCTTGAATGCCTGGCTACAAAAGGAGAAGGAACAATTCCATACACCTCTTTACAGCACCTAAGATCTCACTTCAAGCCTCACAAAGTGATGATTCTCCAAGAAGCCTCTCCAGACTTGCAAACGAAGGCTGAAGGAGCTGTCACGGTGACATTATCACGGACCCGTGAGCAGCATTTCCCTTCTGATAAAAACATAAGGCAAATTATCCTCTAACGAGGAGAAAAAAAAGCTACGAGGATTAAGCTGATTATAGGAATTGCTGGGGCTGTTTTGTCTGTAACAACATCCTTTCAAAACGTTTTTAAGTCGTAATTCTGAACTGGCTGCAGTTGAATTTTTACTACCTGCGAACATGAAGGTGTTGCCACTTGCAGCACCTAACTTTGATCTTCACCACATCAAAATATCGGGCTCCTCATCCAGTTAATAGCCAGTGGTAGGCCTCCGGTTCCAGCGTTGTGGACAGCTCTCTGGAATAGCTTAGCCTTTACCTTTGAGTATCTTGGGAGTTTAGGTATTTAAGTTACTCATCCAAAATAAATGTCTGGAGTAGACAAAGTGAATACCATTCCGCCCCCACCCACCAGGCCTCCTAAACCAAGAGAAGGCTCAAGAAAAATATACCCTGCTACTTGAATAGGGTCTAAACCTCCAGGAGGCTGAGAGACCTCAGCCTAAAAGGTGTGGAATGTGAATTAAATCATTTGTGCTGTCACGTAACTTGTTCCCATCCACAAATCTCTCTACTTAAAGATTCAGGGAACGTGACTTACCACGCAGCTGTTAGCATCGAGCATCAGAACCAACCAAACCAAGTTTTAAAGACTATACAAAGGGATTTTAGAGTTCTTGCATCAGCCTAGCACTATGAAAAATGTATTTCAACAAGTCAGGTGCTCAGAACCGCTGCACCATCCATCGGATGGCAGTCAGAGGAGGCACACTGAATGGGCTGCTCCAAAAACCTCTGCCAGAGGTCACTGTAAGCAATACACAATCAAATACAGGACCAGCAGGGAGATGAAGGAAGAGGTCTGAAAGCCTCCTCCCATTTCAGAGGACCTTTGTAAAATGGATCAATGGTTCTCCTGGTCTTTTCACAGCCTGGAGAGGAAGTCAGCATCTCAAATGCAGCATTACAGAAATTGACTGTTCATGAACAAGTTTTAACAGTTTGCTTTTTTTCATAATGTCAAAAGTTAACATAGACTGAATCCCAATCATCTGAATGTCCCACTATAATAAGAGTTCAATTTTTTCATTCTTTACTTACATGGATGCATTTATTCTGATTTTCCATGCAGTTTCAATGAGCTGTATATTTTATACAGCAAGCCACAAATTCAGGAGGTAGTTTGCACAAAGTCAGCAAAATAAACTTCTTTCACAAGAATAACTAACAAAAAAAGACCTCGGTGCATATAAACCTCACCAAAAGCCAAGGTGTTTATTACACTCACCTTCCTTCAATGAGCCAGGTGCATTTGGTTTTGTATTTGTAGTTCCCAGGCCCATCCGTTACATACCCTGAAGGTCCGGTGAGTCTGTAAATAAAAAATGATAAACACAAGCATTAGGCTCCAATGTTTTAACACAAATAAAGGATATCCTGAATTTAGGGAGAGCCACGATTAGATTTTCACTTACTCAATAGCCATTAAAAACAAACCAACAACGCCACGTGAAAGTGTCAGGATTCTCAAGTCCCTGTACACGCTTCCTGATGCCCGTCCTTGCAGAATGAGTAAAGGGTGATGGTTTTTCTATCAGATTGATGGTATTTCAGATTAACACTCTGTTAAAGAGACCTACCACAAGGCCTAACACACAGACACAAAAGCCCAGGGATGTAAAAGCAGAAAGTACGGCCGGACTCATTCATCCCAGTACACACAGTGTACTTAAAACCAGCACTTAAAATCATTAAATGTTCAAGATGCCACTGAAAGACTGAAGGGAACCGAGCCAGTGGAGTAAGTAACTTTTATTTACATCTGCAAAATGTCACAGCACAAGTCCTGGGCAACTGCATTCGTCTGTACTGCTCACAGCCACTCCAAACAGGCAGCCACAAACCCACAGAAGGGCATCTGGATGAAAAGCTCGCCAGCAGAAGGTAAAACATACGTTGGAACTGTGCTTAACCCTTTGTCGCAGCACAAAGGAAACTGATATTCTTGCTTTTAGTCCTGCTCAAAGCACGACAGCCACGCAAACACATAGAGCAAGGCAAGCTGGAGGCAGGTCTGCTGGCTGCAGCTGTGCCTTGTCTCTTCTGCGGATTTTAACCTGGGTAGGTTTTCCCCAGGGACCATGGCCAGGAGTCTGTGGCAGCAGATCTGGTACAGTGCTTGGGGTCCCAAAAATCAGGCACTGAGATTCTGCATCGTCTGTCTTTGTGCGGAGCCTGGCAGGAACACACGTGGGCTGAAGACAAATCCAAGAGCCACGCATTCGGATGCACCCTCCCATCTCATGTCAAAAATTCAAGATCAGTTTCAGCTGAGGTACAGCAAAAAGCATTGAAAACAAAAATTATTAGGGCAGGATGAAGTGAAACAGAAGCAGCAGCTGAAGACACCCAGGCACCACGCTGTGGCAGAGCTGAGGGATGATTCCTGCCCAAGGAGGTTAGAAACTCCATCACCCACCCGTGCCTGGAGCTAATCAAAGCCTCCTGGAAAACTGCAGTTGTCCTGCTTAAAACAGTTGTAGTAAAACAAAGGCACTCTGCAAAATCAAGTTCAGCAAAAAGAGAGAAGGAAGCAATCCCAGGAGTTCCCCAAAACAGTATATTGAAACCCTTTACTGTGTGTTTTTCTGGAGATCCATTAATATCATCTAATCTTTTTCAAATATCTTGACTGAGTCAAAAATGGTTTTCCAGAATCTTTTCTGTAGAACATTTTGAAGTTTACGCACGGTTCATTTCTAATCCAAAATAAATAAATAAAAGAACAACAAAGCACACAACAAAGTATATAGGATTTTTCGGAACCAGCTTCCTCTTCCTCCACATTAACTTCTTATAACGCTTTTCAACCTCAGAAATGTAGTTCAAGATTTTTTAAGGACGGTTTCTGAGGTTCTGCTGATTTACATTTAGGCAAGTGAAGGAAAAGAAAACAGTTTTCAGGAGTACCTTTCATGGTGATGTGCACACACAGATTTACGCACACGCATTTTTAAAGGTTCAGCATCTTTGAAAATTCAAGAGTCTTATCTACTGATACAGAATTTGCACAACTAGATGCAAATTCCTAAGTGTAGAAACTAATAACTGGTCCTTTTGTCTAACAACAACAACAAGAACAAAATAATCTTTTTGGAAATAACATCTTCGGAAAAGCTAGGAATCAAATTATACCAGTGCTTCAACGCTGACATCACTTCGCATGCCACCAAGAGTAAACAGACTTTGGGAACCTGAGCAAGTCTTGCAAGCTAAAAACAATCTTATGCAATCTGCCAAGCTCTCAGAAAGCCTCTGCTCAGAAAACTCTTTGAACAATTTTCTCTGGAAACAATTACTAAATCCTTCACTGCAGAAACACTATCAAGAGCGATGCAAAAAAAAAAAAAAAAAAAAAAGAAATAAAAAATCCCTTATATCCTGGCTGTGTCAGATCTCGGGGAAAAACCTAAGAATTTCAACACTGACACAACTTACGGTCATATTCCAGCAAAGCGAAACCAAAACCCAAAGTTTAGTTTATAAGAAAATAACCAGTCGTATTTCATAGAATCACAGAAATAGGATCAGAGAGGCTGGAAAATCCCTCCGAGATCATCTGGTCCAACCGTCCCCCTGCCACCACTGTCACCCACTGAACCCCGTCCCCAAGCACCACGTCCAACCTTGCCTTGAACACCCCCAGGGACAGTGACGCCACCACCTCCCTGGGCACCCTGTTGGTTTTCCCTGATATAATGTTAATTAAATGCTTATCTGTACGTTACTCGGACTCCTTACTAAGCTTTAAAAACCGCTGCCGTTACAGACAAATAAAGGATATTAAAAAAAATAAATAGTCCGAGCTTCTGAAAGCTTCGTGCTCAGTACCTGTGGGCACTGATACCTAGGGCACTTCCTAGACAATGCTTTTTGTTTGTTTGTTTGTTTTTTCTACAAGAAAAGGCTCAGGTACATGAGGAATTCAAGGAGGAAAAACTCCCAGGAGCAAAGAACCTGAAGGCAGGACATTTCTGTGACTTACAGGAGGGTTATGTCCAGAGCTCTTGGGATGTACAACAAGCAAAATCCTCACCCCAGGTAATGCACTACCAGGGGACTGTCTTTTTCCTGCTAAACTCTAGAAATGTGAAGTCCTGAGGATATTGTGCTGTGTTCTCCCAGTGCTCAACTCTTTAACTTTATTGTGCAGATTTCTAATTTTATCACCCAAATGCATAATCAACGCCATGAAGTTTGGCAAGGTGTCAGCTCCCATTTTATCTCGCTAATTAATTCCATGCCCTTGATGGGCTCTCCCTACACATACCTGCACTACTCAGGGGTTACGTCCACGCTGCTGCCCCCTCTGAACACAAAAAAGGAAGGTCCTTGGGGCGCTGGGTGATGCAGATTCAGGTGAAAGCCATAAACACAGCACAAACAGCACCTACGAACTACAATATTGCCTTGAAAACCACCTGGTGGAAAAGCTATTTCAAGTTTCTGGTCACAAAACTCAGACTTTGAACGTGTCTCTTTCTGCTTGTGTGCACACAGACGTGGCTCCAAACACCGCTAGGCACCAACAGCGCGACTTATAACCCATGGAAATATTTCACTGATTTTCACCCAGGCATACCAGATAAACCCCAGTGGTTTTAATGACGTGAGGAACACGAGAAGTGTGTATTTCTTAAATACCAATTAGCATACACTGACAAAGCTCCTTCTGAGAACATGAACTGCACAAGCAGGCAGGCTCCAAGCTGTTATCTAATTATCATCTAACAAACCAAAGCTACCATCCAAGTACAAACCACAGACACAAAACAGCTCAGACCTTTGGAGTAAATCATCTTGAGGCACTTACTTCCGAAACACCACAACACCAAAAGTACACTGAATATTGAATATATTCAGAGTAGTACAGAAGAGGAGCTGCAACTCGCCTTTCCTTCACCACTCACCAGAGCAGGCGAGGGGGCTGCTTGGGCTTGTAGGACAAATTCATCCTTTACCTTAATCCTCAACCTCTGATAGGTCAGCAAAGGATCTCAGAATGTGTTGCTTTCAGTGGGACTACAGAGATGCTTGCATGGCCACAGCCGGCACTTTAGGATGCTCACTAGATTTTTGGCACAGCCTTGCTGTTAAAAAAAAAAACAAAACAACAGAAAACACCCAAGCCCGCAATGGCTCGCCCTAATTTTGAAGTTGCTAAAACTAGAGATTGATGCAAACGAGGAGTTTTCCTCCTCTCTCCCTTTTCTTTTCCAAGTGCCTCAAGAAAGCCCCAATTAAAAGCCATTGTTTCGGGTAAATCTGAAGTTGCATCCAATAAAGGGTTGTTACGGCCTATTACCAGAACAATGGCATTCTCTCCTAAATTGATTACCGACTTAGCTTTGTTCATTTCTCAAAATAAAATAAAAAAATATATAATAAAAAGCACAGAGTTTAAGGGTTATATCCTTCTGTGGTTTGCTATAAAGAAATGCCCTAATTTATAGGCATGGAATAGCTGCATACAGAATGATAGAAACAGACACACAGATTTTCTTTTATCTGTTTCATGAATTTCTAGCACAACATCCCCTCTCTGCCAGCTAGGTGCCACAGCTCGAATGAATTAATTCCTACATGCCAGCTCTTATGCAGGACACTACTACAAAATTAATTTTGATAAGGATTTATAAACACTCCACAGGGAGGATTTATAAACCCTCCACAGCTTGTTACGACCACAGCCGATCTGAACACTCAATTTTTGGAAACCAAGAGCTCAGCATTGCCACAACAGCGTCATTTATTGCCACACCGTGTGCCACAGAGGCACACAACCATGAAATGCCTAGAAAATCTGGTGGCTTTGCAAGCATAAAGCATTTTTAACCAATCTCATAGCAACCAATCGCTGTTCCAGCGCTTGCGAAACCATCCCCAGCATTGCCTTGATCAGGGTTTTCCTCTCAGAATTGGGTATTTCAAGGGTGGCAAAGAGGTCAGAGAAGTCTGACAACCACTCTCCACTCAATAGCTTCTGTTTTCATCCCTCTTTCAGCTAAATTGATGCTGAAGAGCTGCCTTGCTTCGAAAAAAAATCAGCGAGTGGCACTGCTAATTTGATGTGGGAAACGTGGTTTCTTCAAAGGAGAGATTAGCTTCGCCCTTCTCTGGGAGATATGTAAATATATGAAGAGTGATTTCCTGGCTGCCGATCAGAGATAAGGGCAGAGCCTGCAAAAGCTCAGCAACGCCTGAGAGGACGGTCAGAGAAATTACAGCAGGTAAAAATGTATCCCCACAACCAGCGATGCTCCTAAACACATTTAATCTCTTTGTTTCTGGAATATCCACCTTGATCTAACA